ATTTAGACAGTCTCTTCAACGTAGGAGTCTGAGTTCATATTGCTAATAATGACTAGGGAAAATTTTTTCCTAAACCTGAAAATCAAAGTCTGAAGTTTCAGATAAATGATTACTCTAATCCTTTCCTCTAAAATCCCATGTTAAGTGAACTAGAGAATAATCAGAAAGGCATAAACCCACACAGGCAAAAGAATAAGGCATTAAGACAATGGCAGACTAAAAGTAATAATACTCTATTGGAGGACAGAACAGGGCCAGAATGAACCTTGATATAGTAGAAATAAAGAAAACCTGTCATCAAGTGGAGTGGGGGTAGAGTGTGAAGCTCGGAACCCTGAAAAGTCTCCTACGTTGGAGACATCTTAAGTATCAAATCCTGAAGTAGTCATGCAGATGAAAACAGGAATACTGGCTCAAGGTTTACTTGCGGAGTGGCAGAGAATGCCAGATGCCCTCCCTATCTCCACGTGATCAGATGACTGTACTTCCTTCACCTTGGTAGCAGGAGGATTTGATTGAAAATCACCAGTATACAGAGGCAGGTTGGACTAAACTGCTGTGTTTAAAATCTATATACTAAATGATGAGATACGTGAGAATCTAGACCAAATTGTGAGAACCTCAGTCCCAGGCCTAACTGCCTCACCCTGATCAGCTTCCAGAAGGCTGGCAACCAAATACAAAAATTAAAAGGCTTCTCCTTAGAGAAAATGACAGACCAAGGAGAAAAAACAAGGAGACAATGGTGCGGGGGTCCTCTAAGGGTACCGCTGGGTCACCCTACAGTCGCACCCATCAGTCAACCTGTCCCACACAGGCACACAGATTCCAACCAGAACTTAAAACAATCCACCAAATAAAACAAAACGTAACTAAAACATACATGAAAAAAGAGTGAATACACATCAATGTAAATCAATGACTATTTTCTAACTTTTATAAATGGAATCATATAGGGTCTTTTTTTCTGATTGGCTTCTTTTGCTCAATATTACATTGATGAGATTCATTCACACAGTTATATTTAGTCATAATTCATTTTCATCATTGTGTAGTACTCTACTATACTAATAAACTATAATTTATCCATTTACTGCTATAGACGTTTAGGTTGTTTACAGTTTTTGGCTTTTACAAATAAGGATGATACAAACATTCTGATACGTGTTGCCTGGTGCACACGTACATATATTTCTGTTGGATATAAAAGTGAAAAAGTTTATAGAGTACAGGTATCTTTAACAGTTGAATATTGAACAGGATACTAATAAAAGGGCACTATCGGCAAATAAGAAAGCTCTTGGCAATTAAAGATTTTAATAGTTAAATTAAAACATTCAGTAGAAGGGTTGTAAGATAAAGTCTGGGAAATGTTCCAGAAAGTATTTAGAATAGGAAAATAATTATATGAACATTAGAAGAGCAAAAGTAAGAAAATTAGGGAAATCCAGGAAGAGCCATATCCAACTAATGTGATTTCTAGAGAAAACAGTACAGAAGAAAGTATCAAATAGAGTACAAGATGTTCCTAGAACTTAAAGACATGCTTTTCCCAATTAAAAGAGCCCATCAAGTACCCAGCATAATCTATAAAAAGAGAACCCACGTCAAGGCACATCACTCTGAAATTTTAGAATGCTAGAGATAAAGAAAAAGGGAAGCGGGGGGGACTTCCTTGGTGGTCCAATGGTTTAAGAGTCCTCCTTCCAATGCAGGGGACGCAGGTTGGATCCCTGGTTGGGTAACTAAGATTTCCACATGCCCCGGGGCAACTGAGCCCATGTGCTCTGGAGCCTGTGCCACAGCTAGAGAGCCCACGCGCCTCAAGGAGGAGCCTGCATGCTGCAACTAAGACACAATGCAGCCAAATTAATTTTAAAAAAAAAAAGAAAAGAAAAAGGGAGGATGGGGAGAGGGAGGAAACTGGTAAACATAGCAAGAGTAAGGAATTGGAATGGCATTAGACTTCACAACAGCAATAAGAAAAAGGAACTCTACAAATGATTTCCAACTCAGAATTCTGTTCCAATCTATCAGTCAAGAATGGTGAGAATAGAAACATTTTCAAAGATATAAGAGCTCCAAAAATGTATGTCCTATATACATCTTTTCTCAGAAAACCACTGGTTTTGATGTAGATTGTGCTACATCAAAACAAAGAGTAAACCAAGAAATAGAAAAACAGGATTTAGGAAACTGGGGATCAAACACCAGAGGGAAGAAAAAGAAATTCCCAGGATGACAGTTAAGAGAAGTCTCAAGATCACAGATACTAAGCAGGCATGGAAAAGGCCTAGTTCAGACCAGAGAAGTCAAGAGTTCTAATGAAGATGCCTCCAGGGCTTCCCTGGTGGCGCAGTGGTTGAGAGTCCGCCTGCCGATGCAAGGGACACGGGTTTGTGCCCCGGTCCGGGAGGATCCCACATGCCGCGGAGAGGCTGGGCCCATGAGCCATGGCCGCTGAGCCTGCGCATCCGGAGCCTGTGCTCCGCAACAGGAGAGGCCACAACAGTGAGAGGCCCACATACCGCAAAAAAAAAAAAAAAAAAAGAGAGAGATGCCTTCAATAAAAAACAAAAGTAATAAATTACCTGGTATGTTTCATCATAATGGAGAGAGAGAGGTATGTTTTAGAGTTTTGGGGGGAAAATTAGTGATGAGTACATAGGCAGTACAGGAAAACTGACTGAATTAGTTATTCTAGGGAAAAAATAGAATAGTGTAAAAAAAGGAAATAAAATCATCTTCACAATATGACTCTGTTGTGAATCTTAATTAACCAGTCATAAAAAAGAAAGTTTGGGGCAGGGCAGGCAACTGCTATCTTTCATGATAAGAAGCCTTGAAGTATTACCATACTATTAAATTTTTTAAACTATGTGTTTCGATTTAAAAAATTATTTTATTGGGGCTGGAAAGAACTCCTATGTTTGAAATAGATGCTAAACCAAGAGTATTTGTCCAGTAGTTGGATTTCCTAACTTGAGTGATCATTGTTTTGTTCCTTCTTTTGTTCATTTACTTTTTGTTTTTAAATAAGGAAACTGGTTGATGGCAGGGCTAAAACTGTATTTACTAATAAGCCCAAAGCTTCCTCATGTGCTTAGCTAATTCTCTCAAATTGAGATATATTTAGTATCTTGAGAGCTAGTCAAAGAACTTTTTTTTTTGTCTTTTCCATACTTTTGTTTAGGGAAAACATAACTCAGTATTGTAACAGGGGACTTCCCTGGTGGCGCAGTGGTTAAGAATCTGCCTGCCAAGGCAGGGGACACGGGTTTGAGCCCTGGTCCGGGAGGATCCCACATGCCACGGAACAACTAAGCCCGTGCACCACAACTACTGAGCCTGCGCTCTAGAGCCCAAGAGGCACAACTACTGAGCCTGCACGCCACAACTACTGAAGCCCACGCACCTAGAGCCCGAGCTCCGCAACAAGAGAAGCCACTGCAATGAGAAGCCCACACACCGCAACAAAGAGCAGCCCCTGCTCACCACAACTAGAGAAAGCCCGGGCGCAGCGATGAGGACCCAACACAGCCAAAAAATTTTTTAAAGTAAATAAATAAAATAGATTTATATTAAAAAAATATATATTATAACAGCTACTCCATAAACCCTACAGAGGCAGTGATTAAATCAGTTTTGTATATATTGCCTTATCATCAGAAACTAGAACAGTGCCTTGCATGTAGAAGGCACACAACAAATACCAATGAATTAAAACATTCTACTTGGGCTTCCCTGGTGGCGCGGTGGTTAAGAATCTGCCTGCCAATGCAGGGGACACGGGTTAGAGCCCTGGTCCAGGAAGATCCCACATGCTGCTGAGCAACTAAGCCCGTGAGCCACAACTACTGAGCCTGCGCGTCTGGAGCCTGTGCTCCGCAACGGGAGAGGCCGCGACAGTGAGAGGCCCACGCACCGCGATGAAGAGTGGCCCCTGCTCGCTGCAACTGGAGGAAGCCCTCGCACAGAAACGAAGACCCAAAACAGCCAAAGATAAATAAATTAATTAATTAAAAAAAAATTCTACTAAACCCAATCCCTCAAGTTTTACTCTCTTTTCTTTTTCACTTGGGTGTTCTCACCTCTTGTTTTCTTTTTCTGTGATCATGTTTTAGATTTACTAGTAGGTCTGATATTTAGTCCTATTGGTGGCAATCAAAATAAAACGAGTTGCCACTCTCTTCAAAACAATTTACATTTTAATGGGAAAAATATTCCCTCTTACAAATAGAAAAAAGTGGCATTAGAGTAATGAAGGGATTCCCCCAAACCAAGAGTAGTCTCTAATACCCTCTTCAATGCTTGTGAGAACAACAGGGTTCTACTGATCTTTCCTGCCCATCATACTATCCATGTGTTTTTCTTCTAAAATTGGTTTCCAATTATTATGATATTAGTTACCAAAAAAAGGGAGGATGGGAGGGGAGCAGAAGTACAACCTATTTTTCATATGTCAAAATTGCTATCTGACCTCTTTGGAGATTATTCCTATTAATGTTGCATTATGGGTAAATTCTAATTGAGAAAAGTTATATAACACAATGTTAAGTAAACAGCCCTGCTTAAAAGTGACAATGACAAGCTATGATTATAAAAATTTTAAGATATTCATGATGCATACAGGGAATATACAAAGAAATTAGGGTGCTAAAACTGTTTGCTTTTATCAAACTTCTCTATGATATACATTATTTTTTATAAAAAATGAAAAAATAAGAATATTCCCTTAAACTGCCTTAGCAATAAACATTAATTAAAATACCAAGAAGAAATTTTATCTACACATATGAAAAAAATTCAAAAATCATGATGTACTTCTCAAAACAAACAAGAAAATAAAGTATTTCCCAAGGTCCAATTTTTAACTTGAAAGCAAAGAGGGGAATGAAATATTTGAAAAGACAGGAAGGAAAAAAAAAACCCCACCCAAAGCCAAGAAGTACCTTAAAAGCTAATGTACAAAGCTTATTTTAATAAAAATTAGAGCATACCATGCATTCGCTGGTTTGGGGGTTTTTGAAGGAGCACTTAATGCTGTTTCCATGCTATTCATTCCTGAATTATTATCTTTGGTAGTCATTGCAATCATTTTTCGTTGCTTCTGAGACAGTTTAACTCCATGAGAAATCATTTTTCTAGAAATTGTTAAATTAAACCAATCAGTTTCACCGCTTCTGAGAAAGTTTAATTCCATAAGAAATAATTTTGCTATAAATTAAACCAATTAACATTAATTTCTGCTCAACAAAGGTTACTGGTAATTATATTGCTCTGTGTTTATTTGATGGGATTTTACTATTACTAGATCAAAATGACCACAAGTTTCAACAGTGGCAATATATATAATTAGTTTATACTATCAAAGATCAAGTAATAGCTACATGGGAGCCCTCCTAATACACTTGCATCACACTTGTAACAGAAATAGATCATTTTAGAGGCAAATTTCCGGCATGTAATACTGTATTCCACAAGAGCTAGACCTATCAACCCAACTCAGTCTTCAGCATATATTTAAGAAATAATGTTATGGAGGCTAAATTACCTAGAAAAGAGCTTACAACTAACTTTAACATCAAATGCAGAAAAATAATAGGAAAGGTCCAGGAGGTCTTTCCAGTTGTTCAGGGCAGAACTATAAAACAAAATGGTCTTTCCTTTTCTTATGATTTTGTAACCAACCCCAAATTTGTCTTTGGTGTAGCTCCACATCTTTGTCTGCTTTCTTCTATTTGCATGATGGTTCTGAGATCCACGACAGGAGGGCTTACAGGACTAAAACACATATAAAAGTTACTTTACAACCCATTCATTTATCCATGAAGTCCAACACCCAAACATTACTGAAACTGTAAATTATATATAACATCATTAATGAGAGGATAATTTAGGTCTATTTTGTCAGCTGCGGCCAACTTCAAAAAGGATATTTTGAATGAAAGCTACTTTTATATATACATACATAATAATAAAATGCATCAGAAGTCATAATGTTAAGAGATACATGTTTAATAAAATAGTCTAACATTAGTGATTAGAAGATGCTTCCAGGTGTTCCCACAAATATGTTTACTTAGGAAAAAAGGTGTCTACTTTCTGAACTACCTTTAGACCATGAAGCAGCATAAACTGGGACATCATCTTTATTCCAACTGTGCAAAATACAGCACATTTCAAAATAATTACACAAATGGCCCAGATGGCAATATAATTGGTAAGTCAATTAACAGTCTTAGCCTATTATAAACCATACTAGGTAATAAAGATGAAGCATAAGCTCAATTAGCTCTTTGAAAGAATACTGTATGTTAATTATACTTATTCCTTCAGTTTTAAAAACTGACTTTTATAAGTAAAAAAAAATATGGATAGAATATAGGTTAAGTTAAAACTACAGCATAACATTAAATGAATAGCCTCTGAAAATTAACTGTAACAACACATTTTGTGAGATCTTAGATACACTTTAATGTGCAAAAAAAAAAGATAAAGTAAGCCTACAAATGGCAAAATGGTCGTCCTGAGTGGGAGTTTTTACTAATATACACTATCCATTAAAAAAGAAAAAGAAGCTGATATCAAGTCACTGTGTGTGTGTGTGTGTTATAGAGTATTTTACTAAGTATTCCCTGATGACACTGCAAAGGCAACTAAATTCTGTCTGGAAAAAAAAGCCTATTTTAGCCGGTTAGTAATTTGTATGCACTTTAGCTGCTAATTTGTATGCATTTAGGTAATTTTCTGTATATTAGAAATTTTTTTAAATGTGCTTCATTAAAAAGTTTCACTTGACCAAAAATAAATGATATTTCTCAGACTAACAAGTACAGAACAAAATAAAAATCCTACCTGAAAGAGCCAGAAACCCAACTGGAAGAGCTTGTAATATCAATTCTGTTACTGGGAATGGGCTGTGGAGCAGATATTTTAAGTACTGGTGATTTTTCCCATGGTTTTAAATCTTCCCTAAAATGTGTAGGAGGTGTACCATTAACATAGGATTTAATTTTCCCCTGGAGGTTAAAAAAAAAAAAAAAAAAATTAAAGAGTGAGTAATAGCAGGTACCCCTAGCACAGTAGCTAACACATAGTTGGTACTCAGTAAATACTGGTTAAACTATATTAAAGAGTAAAACCTGACAAGAATAATTATCTAGTATTTTCAATTCAGTGCTTCTACAGTTTAGTATCTTGATCAATTCTCAAACCATATCAGTGGCTATAACCCAATTATTAAAAGCTTTGGGAATAATTTTTAGGGACATAAGTTTGCATATCAAGTTCTTATTTACCTGAGTATTAAACAAAAATGTTAATAAATATAAGTTGTTCAAATAAGATATGAAGCAGTAACTTTAAAATAAACATCCATGACTTTAAAATGAAACAAAATGAAAGTCTGGTATAAATTTCATACAATTTACTCTGAATATAATTAAAGGACTCTGAATAAAATTAAAGCCAAATAATACTGACACTTCAAAAGGGACCCTAAAACTATTGCTATTACAATAGGTCAAGGAAGTTACTGAAATGGTATTTCCACTGCCAGGATAGATTCTCTACTATTGCCAAAAATTCAGTATGCCTTCAACCTTCTTTTAAACCTCAACTGTCTTCCAGGCCAACCTAAGTGTAATATGAATTTCCCCCAAACTTCTACCTTACATAAAAAAAAATTTTATGATAAAAATTTGTTTTATATCAATCCTTGAGGCCTAGAAGACTCTTAATAAAGGGTAAATTTTCTATTGTCTCACAAATTTCTAGATGTTCTAATATATTTTGTGGATGTATAGAGGTTAGAAAAAAATTACTCTATCTGGTGAGTTTGACATTCTCCTTCCCTGTAGATTAACAACTATGGAATTAAATGTTAACAGATGTCTGAAACATGGCCTCCCCCAGAGCTGACCAACCTAGGAATTCAGCAGCTTAGTGTCAATTATGCTAGACTAGGAGAAGAACTCCATTCCAGATTGCATTGCTCCAGTTCACACCGTGGCAGAAAGACACTAAACAGATTTTGGTATTAGGCTTACTTTCAAAATCACTTTCCTTTGACAATTTTTAGCTGGTGTTAACTGACATTTCACAAAATATATTTTAAGTAATTTAGCTATGAATATATATTTCAATATGCCTATACAGTATTGCTATACTTTACATCAACATTACTTTTATTGCAGAAATACAACATCATAAAGGGCTCAAAGCTGCAATTAAAATCTTTAAAACTAGAAATATTAGGCAAATTTGAGAAAACTAACACTACATATATTATGTCATTAATTGTATTTTCTTATAAACCAGCCAGAAGAATGTTTTAAAGTTAGAGTAAAAATAATGAAAAACTAAACTGTCTATAGATTAAAATGTGAAGAAAATAGTGCATTAATAAACGAAGACAAACCTCAATCTTATCTGAATGAAATCCTGTTGTGAAATCAGGAGACTGTAAATCTCTAGGACTACCCACTCCTGCATAGCTTCCTTCAGAGTCTGATGTCAACAGTTCTGGAAGAGATTCCACAGAATTGGTCTTACCAGACTTTAGTAATCCTAAAAGGTAAAAATTTTTTCATATTTAAACACATATACATAAACATATATGCATTACATTTGATGAACCAAATAGAGCTAAAAGCGTCCATTTATCCAGATTTAGTAACATTTAAATTATAGTCACTGTACTAAAGTCTTAATAATTCAAGCTGACTGAAGAAAGAAATCAGTTGAAGTGAAAAACTGAAATGGAAAATTTTAAAACAAGAGTTTTATTCATTTTAATTACACACCAATTAAGCAATAAACCTGAGGAAGATAGTTATTTGGTATCTGATTTAAAAAGTGACTCAGAACATTTTTTTCCCCATAAAGATAAGACAGCAAGACAAAATTAATAAACTCTAGACCCCTCCCCTTTCCCTTTCTCATCTGTCTCTGCACCTATGCAAAGGGGGATTAGTCCTAGTCTGTGTGGGAGAAGCATTATAACCTTTCTGCCACTCATCTAAGCCAGCAGACTGGCCAGGTAGCAGAGGCTTTGCTGAAGCCTACTGTGGCCTGTTTGAGGGTTTTTCCCTTCTGCAAAATATCTGTGAATTGAGAGCTATTTTCAATTAGCTTATCACCTAAAGCATAAGTTGTTATGAAATGCATATACCATTTGTTCTCTTAGGCAAGCTCAATACCTCAATACCTGTCTCCCTGCTACATCTGGTATCCTGGCTCATTAGCAAATCAGTCATTTCAAGTACAGGGTAAAAAAAAAAAAACTTTTGCTTAGGTTCATGTGTTTATTTCCACATATTTAAAATGCAGTACAATCTAAATGAAGTGGCAAAATAAATACATTATAAAACATATAAATTCAGTAAGTGTTGTTTTCTTTAGAAGTAAATCACCCTGGGCTTCCCTGGTGGCGCGCTGGTTAAGAATCCGCCTGCCAATGCAGGGGACACGAGTTCAATCCCTGGTCTGGGAAGATCCCACATGCCGCGGAGCAACTAAGCCCGTGCGCCACAACTACTGAGCCTGCGCTCTAGAGCCCGCAAGCCACAACTACTGAAGCCCAGGCGCCTAGAACCCGTGCTCCGCAACGAGAAGCCATCGCAGTGAGAAGCCAGCGCACTTCAAGGAAGAGTAGCCACTGCTCACCGCAACTAGAGAAAGCCTGCATGCAGCAATGAAGACCCAACACAGCCAAAAATAAATAAATTATATTAATTAATTAAAAAAAAAAAAAGTAAATCACTCTGACAAGATACGTGCCTTTTTTGTTGTTATTGCTAAAATACAATTTGGAAGAACATTCAAACTTTTCTCCCCCACAATGTTTTAAATATTTTTAAGAGTAGCAAATTTTTATATAAGAGAGTATATTTAATACTGGGATGCTCCCAAAAGTCAATTGGAAACAAATCTAATAAAGAAGACGATTAAAGTGGCCAACAATTATCTTTGATAAAAAAATATTTTCACAGAATGACTTCTAACTTTAAGGACCAACACAAACAAACGTTAAGCCTTCACACAACTGTCCTTGATGAAATTAGCTTCATACTCAGAATTTCTCCCAGAATAGGTTACTTTGGCCCCCAGTTAAATTTAACCTTTCAATCATTTTTGGCTTTGGCCACAGAAGCGAGTAGTATAGCAGGAAGAATACCGAACAGGAATCAAGAAAATAAATTCTACCTCTGGCTGCTACGACCTGAAATCACTTCAAAGTTTTCTGAGCTTGTTTCCTCAAGTTTAAAGGAAGGGGTGTAAATTAATTCATTATTAAGGTCTCTTCCAGCTCTGAAATGCTAAGACTCTTAACACATGTGCTATCAATAACATCCTTTAAAACAAATCAAATATCTGCTTTTTCCATAAATCTTTTAGGTATTTGGAAAATCACTAGCTCCACGACTGTCTATCCATTTATTCATCCTGCCATCAATCCACCTATGCCTCCTTCTAAGTACTACGGGTAATTCATATAACACAGAGGATGCAAAATCACAGAATTTAAACTTTAGAAAGGTCCTAAAATAGGAATCAGGAGATGCAGCAAATGAGAAAGACCTATAGACCTATACTTCATCAATTTAGGTATATTAGAGCTTTCTTTTTTAATATCTCGTGTGTTATCTAAAACGACTATTCTTCACGTTATTTATCAAACATGTCAAATACCTCATTTGTACTTTTCAAAGTTGCCTGTATAAGGCTGATTGACTGTGAAAACACTGATAGAAACTGCACCAGTTTGTCTTATGGCTATAGACACACCAACTATTTCTGAAAGCCATGCTGTGCTGCCATTCTTTTTTGGTTACACTTCAAATTTTTATCTAAAGAAACTGTTAAAATTTAGGTCATTTAATCTGGATCTAATCAGATGAATCCAGAATGTGGGGTAGTCTACAATACCACTGGCCTCAACTTCTGAAAACAAAACAAAACAAAACAGAAAGGTGTGGCGGTGCTGTTCTACTTAAGAGACTAAAAAGACACTAATAAGCAAAGGCAATGTCAACCCTGATACGACATTAGATTTTTTTTTTTTTCTTAATGTTAAAACAGAAAAGGCTATAAAAACATGTTTGGACAATTAGGGAAATATGGGCATAGACTACAGCACTACATAATATGAATTAATGTTAACTGTCTTTCAATGTGATAATGGTATTGTGGTTGTATAGGATAAGGGTTGTAATCTCCAGGAGATTCATATTAACCTTGGGGGGAAAATGTCCATGTCTACAGCTTAGTTCCAAGTGGATCAGGTTAAAAAAAAAAGTGTGTGTGTAGAATGTTTGGAAGATGAGGGAACAGAGCATGCAAGACAAAGCCTGCAAGAAAAAGCAAATGTGGTAAGAGGTGAACAATAGATCTGGATAATGGGTATACAGATGTTCATGGTATTTTTCTTTCGCCTTTTTAGTAACTTAAAGATTTTCAAAATTAAAAACTGGGAAAAAAAATTTTAGAAAAACTATATAACCTTACTTTCAAACAGGCTCACATAATGCCTAGGTATAAAACGTATTGTATTTTACTACTGGATTATAACCTCCTTAACACGCATGAATGGAATCCCACGTGGCATCTCACTTGAAGCACTGATACATATGAACTGAATGCACGTGTTAATAGTATCTCTGTCATGTTTTGCCCACCTCTAACCCTCTATGCCACTAGACAGAGTGGTCTTTCTAAAAACATAAACCTTATCCAGTCACACCCTGCCTTAAAAAATCGATCAACAGCTACCTGCAGCCTTCAGATTAAAGTCCAAATTCCTTAGTTTGGCATATAACACCCTCCAAAATCTGACGCTCTCCAACCTATCTCCTATCTGCACCTACCGGATATGGCCGAGCTATGCACAACAAACGTGCAGTCTTTCTACTACCTCTAGGCTTGAAACACACTGCCCCATTCTCTTAGCACGTCAATCTGCCTCCTTTTCTTGGCTAAATTCTCTTCACTCTTCGAGATCCAGCTCAGGTATCACTTTCCTCTAACAGATGTGCCCTGATCTTCTCAGACTAGTTTGGGTGCCCCTTCTGTGATCACAGAGCAAATGTCAATCAGAGTACTTATCACAATACATTACCACTTTCTGTGGCCTCCCTAAGACAAGGACTATTTTCTATTTCTGTAGCCCCAGCAGATGGCATATAATAGTATTTAATACATGTTAAATGAATTAGATAAGGAACAGAGACAAGAAAGATTAGATCAGAAAATATACCCTAAAATATTTTCCACTAACCTGTAGATGGTGGACTCTGAATAATATCTGAAAGGTTATAACCTCCAGAACTATCTGACCGCTTACGTGGCTTCTTTTTTGCTTTTGTTTTTGTCTTCTTGAACACACTTTCCCTAGGAAAAAAGCAAACATAAAAGTCATTTAAAAAAATTAAAGTTACAGGGCTTCCCTTGTGGCACAGTGGTTAAGAATCCGCCTGCCAATGCATGGGACACGGGTTCGATCCCTGGTCCAGGAAGATCCCACATGCCGCAGAGCAACTAAGCGCGTGCGCCACAACTACTGAGCCTGCGCTCTAGAGCCCGCGAGCCACAACTACTGAGCCTGTGCGCCTAGAGCCCATGCTCCGCAACAAGAGAAGCCACTGCAATGAGAAGCCCGAGCACTGCAACGAAGAGTAGCCCCCACTCACTGCAACTAGAGAAAGCCCACATGCAGCAACAAAGACCCAACGCAGCCAAAAATAAATAAATTAAAATATTTTTTTTTTAAATTACAGATGAAACAGGAGAAGAACTATGCATTTTGAGCAACGGAATACAGCATTTTGGTCAAACAGAAAACACAAAAGAATATATATGTTCTAGTCCCATTTATCTAAGTGGCCCAGAGCACATTAGTTAATTCCACCAAACTTCAGTGTGATACTATCACTTGTTCTAACCCTAGCACTTCTGTGAAAATTAGAAACAAGATGGTATATAAGAAAATACTTTGAAAAGTAAAATACTGTACATGTTCACACACAAGCTATTATAATCTATGATCTGGAACTAGAAATACTTGGTGATAATTTTTAAAGTATTTCAGGGACTGCTTAATTCCTTGAATTATTATTAATCAGGAAAGAGAAAATAACATTATCTATAAGGACTACAACAGTCTTATTTCACCTAAAAATTATAGATCTCATTACATAATTCATCCACAGTAACACAGGTCAGCTGTGAATACTATTATTTTGTGAAGGATAATGTATTTATGTCGATGTTAATCATTTTATTATAATTTTTAATGTAATAACATGTCATACATCCAAGTCAGATATTTATAAACCTCAAGTATTCCAGTGGCTACCACCAAACTCTAGAAAAGAGGTTAAAAAAGATTTCTGGAACCAAGAGCAGCTTTTCAGTGAGCTACAATTATACTCATACATATATATACACTCACACATGTATGTAGTAAATGACTTGAACGTCCGAAGATTTTATTTTAACAGGTCATTTACCAAGCAGAAGGAAAGTAATTCTATAACCAGCTGATAAATTAGCCTAAAATGCCGACTGGAAATTCTAAGCAGGACTTATTAAATGGTCAACAGGGAGATTGTGTAGAACCTGGGATATTTTATTGAAGGACTCCCAAATGCCAGTCACTGTGGGTCATATCTCTTGAATGAGTAGGGTTCTCTACAGAGAGGGATCTAGAAGAATGGCTGATGAACTCCCCTTGGTTCACCCTCTCCAGAAGGCAAATCTCTCGTCTTCTGCTAAGATGGAGGAGGGGCAATCAATCACTTGGTTCGGGAATACATCAATGCTCTTTGAAAATTTTTCAAAAAAAAAAAAGCTCTTTTCCAAATCCAACCACTTACACTGGTCTTCATAAACCTAGTACCTGTAATTCTTAAGCCTTTCCAGAATTCTGTTTTAGTTTTTTCTAAGTCATTACTGCTTGGCAACCACTTTCCAACTTCCAAAACTGTTAACATCTCCTGATTGCCATTTACTCCTTTCCTGTTCTCTCTGATCTAGTGCAGTATGCCTTTTTTATTTCTTTACTATAATCTCAGCAGGGTTTGGAAAGGTAGTTAAGATAATTGCACTTATTCAACCCAACATATTTAACCAGAAGGCTACATTCCTTTTGTGTTTATACTTAACTTTGTTATATCTGCAAATATTAATTATGCATTTACTTTGTATTGTATCAGGCTAAAAATGAACATAAATACCTATTTTTTATGTTAGGTTTCTCAATTTTTCTTTCCATATTAATATAAAGGTGTCAACAGTGTCCAAGATTGGGGATGAGGGAAGGAGAAAAGGAAGGGGGAAAAAAAAAACAGAGCTTACGAATAATTTTGTTCCATATTTATTTCTTCTTTCAAAAAGATATCTCCATCTTCTACATCCAAATAGCTAATATCTGGTCCATCTTGATATGGTGTAATGACTCTTCTATCCATTGCTGGAATCTATAGAAAAAAAGATGTCACTTTTTAAATACAAAATTTGTAGAGGAAAGACATCAGCTACCTTTCTGTCTCCCCTTCTGTCTACAACCAGTAAAACATCCAGAGCTCAACAAAGTTGCCTCTGCCCAACACACTAGGTCACCAGAGAATTCCACACATTTGTACATCTAAAGGTGGGGAGGCTGGAACACATACAGGAGAGAGGAAGAACAGATGAAAGAGTGGAGTCTGTGCCTGCAATCCTGGGCCTCTAACCATGGAAGCTGAGCCCACAGCTTCAGGGAACCCAGTACCAGCATGTGAGGTGGTGCACTTACAACTATGGCATCCTGAATGGAGGGGTGCTCACAACCACAGGTAGCTTGGTAGCAACGGAAGTGGGCCCTGGAACCCAGCCGCCATCGCCCACCATCAACAGTGGCGGAAGCCCACGAACCTTATACAGTACCAGATACAGTACAGGCACCTGTGCAACCCTGGCTCCCAATACCCCCATGATCCTCCTCCCCCCATGCAAAGACTGTTACTCAAGGAACCTCACAAACTGGGGAAGAGCCTAACATTCCGATGATGACAGTAGCTCTGGCAGAAGAAAGGCAGTAAGGACCTGGGAGGCACAAGAAGCAATAATGAAGGCACAGAAGCACACCTCTTACAGAGCCGGTGGAGGCTGGAAAGTGTCAACTAGCAAATATAATCAGAGCCAGCTCAGGTAAGAGAAAACAAACCTGTGTTATAGTGCCACCTACTGGAAAGCAAAAGAAAGGACTCTAACTTCTAACCTGTCGTTAACTTCAAATGCACCTGCAGAGGAACAATTTAATTCAAGTACCATATACAACCACAATAACACTCGACCACAAAAAGAAAATAACAGTTCTCCAGAAACCAAACTAAGTCACAGAATATTTCAATCTAACTGATAGAGAATTCAAAATAGCTGTCATGAAGGAACTCAATAAGCTGTAAGAAGTCAGAAAGGCGGTTTAATGAGCTCAGGAATAAAATTAATGAACAGAAGAAATACTTTACCAAAGAGACTGAAACTCTAAAAAAGAACCAAACAAACGCTGGAGCTGAAGAACTCAATAAATGAGATGAAGAATGAATTAGAAAGAAATGGAAATAGAGCAGATCATATGAAAGAGAGAATTAGCAAGCTCAAAGGTAGAAATCTTGAAATGATACAAGTAGAAGAGGAGAAACAGAATATTAAAAAAGTGAGGAAATTTCACAAGACCTATCCAACTCATTTAGGAAGAAAAATATTAGGGTAATGAGTAACCCAGAAGGAGAAGAGAGGGAGAAGGCAAAAGAGAGTTTATTTAAAGAAATAATATCTGAGAACATCCCAAAGCTGGAAAAGGAACTGGATACACAAGTCCATGAAATTAAAAGAATACCTAATTACCTCAGTGCAGAACAACCTTCTCCAAGATGTGTAATAAATATTAAAATTGTCAAAAGTCAATGACAAAGATTTTTAAAGGCAGCCAAGAAAAAGGATGGTAGCTGGGAATTCCCTGGTAGTTCAGCAGTTAGAACTCAGTGCTTTCACTGCCAGGGCCCAGGTTTGATTCCTGGTCGGGGAACTAAGATCCTGCAAGCCACGTGGCATGGCCAAAAAGTTAAAAAAAAAAAAAAAAAGGCTGGTGGCCTACAAAGGAACCTCCACTAGGCTAGCAGCAGATGTCTCAGCAGAAAGCCAACAGGCCAGGAGAGAGTGAAATGACAATCTCAGAATACTAAAAGATAAAAACCGTCAGACTAGAATACTCTATCCAGCAAAGACATCGTTCAAATATGAAGGAGAGATAAAGACTTTCTCAAACAGAAGCTGAGAGAGTTCATCAACACAAGACCTGCCTAACAAGACATGCTGAAAGCAGCACTTCTAACAGAAACAAAAAAGACAAACGGACACAAAACTTTGAGCAAGATGATAAAACAGAACCAGAAAATTGCAACTCTATGAGAGCATAAAGGTTAAAAGGAGAAAAAAAGAAAGCAGGAAAATAACTGTAAGCTATTTCTGTTTGGTAGCAAACTCACATCAAAAGGGATAATGTGAGGGCTTCCCTGGTGGTGCAGTGGTTGAGAGTCTGCCTGCCGATGCAGGGGACACGGGTTCGTACCCCGGTCCAGGAAGATCCCACATGCTGCGGAGCGGCTGGGCCCGTGAGCCATGGCTGCTGAGCCTGCGCGTCCAGAGCCTGTGCTCCGCAGCGGGAGAGGCCACAGCAGTGAGAGGCCCGCATACCGCAAAAAAAAACCCCAAAAAGATTCATTTTATATATGGAATTTAAGGAAAAAAAATGTCATGAAGAACCTAGGGGTAAGACAGGAATAAACACACAGACCTACTAGAGAACAGACTTGAGGATATGGGGAGGGGGAAGGGTGAGCTGTGACAAAGCGAGAGAGAGGCATGGACATATATACACTACCAAACGTAAGGTAGATAGCTAGTGGGAAGCAGCTGCATAGCACAGGGAGATCAGCTCGGTGCTTTGTGACCACCTGGAGGGATGGGATAGGGAGGTGGGAGGGAGGGAGACGCAAGAGGGAAGAGATATGGGAACGTATGTATATGTATAACTGATTCACTTTGTTATAAAGCAGAAACTAACACACCATTGTAAAGCAATTATACCCCAATAAAGATGTTTTAAAAAAAAAGTGGAAAAAAAAAAGGAATAATGTGAAAAAACAAAAACATAAAAGGGGATGAAAAAATTCATACAGGTAAATGAAGATAACATACTATCAGCAGAAAAAAGACTATTTTATCTGTGAGACGTTTTATACAAAGCTCAGGGCAACCACAAAACTTTGTTACAGAGCAGAGACATGAAACATAATAAAAGAAGAAACTAAGAAAAATACCACAGAAAACCTCCAAACCAAAATAACAGACAGAAACACAGGAAAAAGAAACCACAGAGGTATCAAGCAACCAAAAAACAAAACACAAAATTTCAGGACTACATCCTCATCTGTTACTAATCCCCCTGAATGTAAATGGACTGAATTCATCAATCAAAAGACAGAGTGGCTGGATGCATTAAAACATAAGACTCAACCAAATGCTGCTCCAGGAGACACACCTCAGCTCTGAAGACAAACACAGGCTAAATGTGAAGAGATGGAAGATGATACTCTAAGCAAATGGCTGCCAAAAGAAAGCAAGTGTAGCCATCCTTATACCAGACAAATTAGACTTCAAGCCAAAAAGATAACAAGAGACAAAAAATGGTCAGCATATAATTATAAAGAGGACAACTCAGCAAGAACACATAAAAGTGACTAATGTATATGTACCTAACATAAGAGCACCAAAATATATACAACAATTACTAACATTCCCAAAGCGAGAGAACTGACAGCAACAAAATAATTGTAGGGGACATTTAACACCCCACTTACATCAACAGATAGATTACCCAGACAGAAAGTCAACAAGGAAACAGTGGCCTTAACTGAAACGTTAGATCAGATATATTTAACAGATTTAAACAGAACAATGCAGCAAAACACACATTCTTCTCAAATGCTCATGGAACATTCTCAAGGATAGGCCATAAATCGGGACACAAAAGAAGTCTCAATATAGATTTAAGAAGACTGAAATTCTATCAAACATCTTTTCCGATCACAATGGTATGAGAAACTAGAAATCAAGAACAAGAACACTAGAAAAATGACAGATATGTAAAGATGAACAATATGCTACAGAACAACAATTGGGTCACTGAAGAAATCAAAGGAGAAACAAAAAATTACCTGAAGACAAATGGAAATGAAAATACAATATACCAAAATCTATGGGAAACAGCAAAAGCAGTATTAAGAGTTTGTAGCAATAAAGGCTTACCTCAAGAAACAAGAAAAACTTACTCCTAAAGGTACTAGAAAAAGAAGAACAAAGCCCGAAGTCAGTAGAAAGAAGGAAATATAAAGATCAGAGAAGACAGAAGAAAAGATGAATGAAACTAAGAATTGGTTTTTTGAAAAGACAAACTAAACTAAGAGTCAGTTCTTTGAAAAGATAAACAAAACTGACAAACCATTAGCTAGATTCACTAAGAAAAAAAAGAGAAGCCCTGATAAATAAAATAAAAAATGAAAGAGAAAAAAAAATAGATACTTACAGAAATATAAAGGAGTATAAGAGAATACAAAAACTGGACAATCTAGAAGAAATGGACAAATTCTTAGAATCATACAACCTTCCAGGGCTGAATCATGAATAGAAAATCTGAATAGACCAATCACTAGTACAGAGATTGAAACAGTAATCAAAAAGCTCCCAAAAAACATAGGTCCAGGACCAGATTGCTTCACAGGTGAATTCTACCAATATTCAAAGAAGATTTAATGACTATACTAAAACTATTCCAAAAAACTGAAAAGGAGGGAATGCTTCCTAACTCATTTTACAAGGCCAAATCACCCTGATACCAAAACCAGACAAAGACAACACAAAGAAAGAAAATCACCAGCCAATATCTCTGATGGCTGCCAGTTGCAAAAATCCTCAACAACATATTAGCAAAACAAATTAAAAAATACATCAAAAGGATCATACAACATGATCCAGTGGGATTTATACCAGGGATGTAAGGATGGTTCAACATCCTCAAATTGATCAATATGATACAACACATCCACAAAATGAACAAAAATCATGCAATCATCTCAAAAGATGCAGAAAAAACATTTGACAACATTCAACACCCATTTATGATAAAAACTCTCAACAGAATGGTGTAGAAGGGATGATATGTGACAAACCCACAGCTAACATACTCAATGGTTAAGTAGTAAAAGCTATCCCTCTAAGATCAGGAATAAGACAAGGATGCTCAATCTCACCACTCTTATTCAACATAGTACTGGAAGTGTTAGCCAGAGCAATTAGTCAAGAAAAAATAAATAAAAGACATCCAAATTGGAAAAGAAGACATAAAACTGTCACTATCTGCAGATGGCATGATTTTTATATACATAGAAAACCCTAAAGATTCTACCAGAAATCTGACACAAATAAATAGAAAGATATGCCAGGGTCAAGGATTAGAAGAATTAACATTATCAAAATGTCCATATTACCTAAAGCAATCTAATTCAATACAATCCCTATCAAAATCCCAAAAACATTTTTCACAGAAATAGAACAAAAAATTCTAAAATTTATATGGAACCACAAATGACCCTGAATAGTCAAAGCGATGCTGAGAAAAAAGAACAAAGCTGGAGGTATCATATTTCCTGATTTCAAACTATATTACAAAGCCACTGTAGTCAAAACGGCATGATATTGGCAGAAAAACAGATGCAAAGATTTCTAAACAGAACTGAAAGCCCAGGAATAAACACTTGCACACACGGACAATTAATTTACAACAAAGGAGCAAAGAATACACAATGGAGAAGGGACAGTCTCTTCAATAAATAGTGCTGGGAAAACTGGACAGCCACATGCCAAATAATTAAATTAGACCATTATTTCACAATATACACAAAAATTAAGTCAAAGTAGATTAAAGGCTTGAGTGTAAGACCTGAAACCATAAAACTCCTGAAAGAAAACACAGGTGGTATACTCTTTGATATCAGTCATAGCAGTATCTTTTAAAATATGCCTCCTCAGTCAATGAAAACAAAAGCAAAAATAAATGGGATTACACCAAACTAAAAAGCTTCTGCACAGCACAGGAAACCATCAATAAAACAAAAAGACAACCTACCAAATGGGAGGAGATATTTGTAAATCATATGCCCTAAAATAACTCATACAACTCAACAACAACAACAAAATTACCTGATTAAAAAACGGACAGAGGAGTTGAATACATATTTTTTCAAAGAAGACATATAGATGGCAAACAGACAGATGAAAAGATGTTCAGCATCACTAATTATCAGGGAAATGCAAATCAAAACCACACTGAGATATCACTGTACACCTGTCAGAATGGCTAGGGTCAAAATGACAAGAAATACCATGTGCTGGCAAGGATGTGGAGAAAAGAGAACCCTCATACACTGTTGGTGAGACTGTGAATTGGTGCAGTCACTACACCAATGACAGTATGGAGATTCCTAAAAAAATTAAGAATAGACTACCATAAGATACCCAGCTATCCCATTTCTGGGTACTCATCCAAAGAATACAAAAACACTTATTTGAAAAGATATATGCTCCCCTATGTTCACTGCAGCATTATTTGCAATAGCCAATATATGGAAACAACCTAAGTGCCCATCAAGGGATGAATGGATAAAGAAAATGTAGTATATGTGTATTTATATAAATGCGCGCGCACACACACACACACACACACACACACACACACACACACACATAATGGAATACTACTCAGCCATGAAAAAAGATGAAATCTTTTTTGCCATTTTCAACAACACAGATGGACCATGAGGATATTATGCTAAGTGAAGTAAGTCAGATGGAGAAAGACAAATACTGTATGATTTCACTCATAGATGGAACATAAAACACTAATAAACAAACAAAAACAAAATAAATTTACTAAACAAACAAAAAAAAACCCAAACACGTGGATACAGAGAATAGAGTAGTAGTTACCAGAGGGAGAAGAGGAGTGGGGGAGTGAAATAGATAAAGGGGATCAACTATACGCTGACAGATGGAAGTTAAATTTTTGGTGGGGAGGAAGCTGTAGGGTATACAGAAGTAGAAACATAACAATGTACACATGAAACTTACGTAGTGTTATAAATCAATGTTACCTCAATAAAAATAAATCATTAAAATCCATATTTTTACACTGTCCTGATCTTTAGTAAATAAATAACGAAAGACCACAAAGCATTCAATAACTTTCATTTATAAAGAAATTTAAATAGATATTAATTTTATCATTAAATATCTTCAATTTTTATTATCGTGTTTCCCTGTAGAGCTTGTAAAGAAATCTTATGTCCTCATTTTTAATAGATCCTAATGAATCAGAATTCATTAGGAAATTGTTCCATTGAGAAGTCTGACCAAATATACTGCTTTAGTTGATATTGTAATTGACAAAAACATAAACCTTACCATTTTTCGGTAAAACACAGAAAGATCCTTCAAAACACCGTCACTTAAAACATCAAGAGACCTAAATAATAAGATATAAAATTCTATCTTAACACTCAAGTTTAATACCTATTAAGACTTTCAAATATGCAGAGACATTTTATATTGTTGAGTAAGGAATTTTTTTTTAAAGAATTAATATGCCAGCTGCAACAAGTTCTTTTTGGAAGTACGTATAGTTATATATTTCACATAAACAGCAAACATATTAGACAAACATACTGAATAAAACTCAAGTAACTCTTACAAATAGGTGATAGAAAAATATTTTCTATGATAATAGCAAGTATTCAACTTTAATTTTCCACAAATATAATCTTTACTACAGAAGGAGTACTATATTGACAGAACAATGGCCTATCAGGTACCTGAATTCTATCTAGGATTATCACTGCTCCCAATTACCTACATGACCTTGAGCAACTCACTTTCCCTCTCTAGTCCTTAATATCTTCATGTGTAAAATGACATTTGGGGACTTCCCTGGTGGCGCAGTGGTAAAGAATCCGCCTGCCAATGCAGGGGACACAGGTTCGATCCCTGATCTGGGAAGACCCCACATGCCACGGAGCAACTAAGCCTGTGCGCCACAACTACTGAGCCTGCGCTCTAGAGCCCGCGAGCCAAAACTACTGAAGCCCACACAGTCTAGGGCCCACGTGCTGCAACTTCTGAGCCCACACGCCACAACTACTGAAGCCCACAAGCCTAGAGCCCATGCTCTGCAATGAGAAGCCCGCACACTGCAACGAAGAGTAGCCCCTGCTCGCCGCAACTAGAGAAAGCCTGCACACAGCAACAAAGACCCAACGCAGCCCAAAATAAAAATAAATTTAAAAATTAAAAAAATAAAACGACATTTGGACTAGTTCAATTGCAGTCAAAGGAGATTTTAAGGAACTCTCAGGTTCCAAAGAGGTACTTCGAGGCATCAGTAAAATTTAAATCAAAGTTTACATTCTAAAATGTACTTCAAACTATTTTTAAAACTAATACAAAGCAACCATATTCAAATCTGTACCATACTGGTTTTCTAACATTTTGAAGACAATTAACTTGTGATGCTACGTCAATTTTGATGCAGCTGTTTTCTTAACATCTCTGTGCGTATTTATTTACACTTCTGGCAAACACATATTTGACTAGGAATGGTTACATTTAAACAAATCTTTGCTTTAATGCAAGTTATAATGTCTACTCATGTAAAATGATTCACCACAGCACATGTGCCTCCCTTAACAGTTCAGCTGACAAACTTGTCACAACATAATAATGGAACAATAGTAATGTGACACATCATCCTCCAATATCGTATTTTAGATAGATTTGGCTTGTTTCACACTGTGGTTGATTCTTTTCTGACAAATTAGACGAGTTAATTTGGCAATGCAAGGGGAAAAAATTACTATGATTTGAATGACTAATGTAATGTCAGCAAAAAAAATAAATGTATTCTGAAACCTCTGCCAGGTTCTGACAATGAAATACCAGAGGCATTTTGAAATGACACTGTCTAATATCCCATAATATTAATTTGCATTTGGAAAGCATTTTCCACAAAATAACAAAGCATTAAATAGCCAGAAGAATTTTCTCTAAATTGAACCCTAAATGGCAACTAAGGAATCTGTTAGTGATTCACCTTTTAAAAATGGTAGAAAACTTTTATTTCAAACATGTTTTGGAATTAGTTTCATTAAGCATCATCCTGACTTTGAAAGGTGAGTTATCAAAAAACTGTTACCATTTATACTTAATTATATGGATCAAGGTTTTCTTGATTATTTGCCAAAAAAAGTTTCACGGGTTTTCTCATCCTCATTTGAGGATATAAACAGAATCTACTTCGTAAGGTTTTCATGAAAATTAAGTGAATCTATACAACACTTTTAGAATGCCACCTGGCACATACCATTAATTATCATTATTACTATGTAACTATTATTGTAGTACTATTTTTAGTTATTACTATTAATTACTATTATTATTGCAGTGTTAGCTATTATTACAGTTAAAACAAAATACAGCATTACACTAGACATCGACTTTAAAAATGCAACTGACACCAAGAAATCTAATCTGAAATTCCCGTGATCAAAAAGACTTACTTTTCTCATCACTGACTTTATAGTGAGTAAATATAGTAAAATTGTGACTTTATGCTAAAAAATAAATCTGTAACATTTATTTCATTAAAAAAATTCCACTGCAGTTGAGAGTCTGCCTGCCGATGCAGGGGACACGGGTTCGTGCCCCGGTCCGGGAAGATCCCACATGCCGCGAAGCGGCTAGGCCCGTGAGCCACGGCTGCTGAGCCTGCGCGTCTGGAGCCGGTGCTCCGCAACAGGAGAGGCCACAACAGTGAGAGGCCCGCATACCACAAAAAAAAAAAAAAAAAAAATTCCACTGCTAAAATAGTTGAAAACAATGGGATTAAATTTCCCAAGGTTCCTCTAATTCTACAATGTCTATGACTCCTAAATCATTAGCATTTATCAAATTCTTTCCATCCAGGTAAACATCAATATAGCATGAAATATTAGCTTATAAAACAGGATACATATACTTAGCTGATTTTTTTCACGTAAAGTGTGTCATTTTTCGTAAGAAAAATTTCATTACCATGAAAGCTTCAACACACAAATCAGCTTGCCATAAACTAGACCAACTAAATTTTTTCAGGCCATCTGCTGCAGCCTAAGTTTGACCAAAGAATCAATATGTAGTATAGGAAATATCTTAAAAGGGAATAAATACAAAAACAGAAATCAACCAATAACAAACTGTTTGCATGATATGTGAAGTAATTAAGTGCTGGCTTAATTAGTATTACAGATACTTTCTAAAAGCCAAGGTAAAAACTACATAGTTACAAATTAGCCTAAACAAGCAAAGAGATATGAAAACATATACAAATATACTTGTGATAATATTGTCCCACAACCTTCCAACCAGCATGTAAGCACCACTGAGGGCAAGGATATTGTCTTTATTTGTTCCCGGTAGTATCTTAGCAATGGCTGGCATATATTAAGCATCCAAATACTGATGGAATGATTAAATCCCCTTACATTTTCACTTTTTCTACAAAGCTGGGATTTATCGTTATTCACTTTTAAATTACTAATATATTTGTTATTATATATAAATAAGTGCTTTTGCAACAGTCTGCATATATCTAACCTACCTTGCTTCAAGTAAAGCTGCCATATTCAGTCCTATAAATTGTAAACAAGATAGTTTCAACTGTTCAGCATTATACATTGCTGCGAATTCCAGTAGCATAGCAGCATTCTTAAGGGTAACTACAAAGGAAAAGATATGCGAAATGAGATGAAAGGCATGTTACTACAGCAAATGAAATATACTTATTTCTCAAGTTGTCAGGTTTGAACATTTAGAAGAAGGAAAATTGAAAGTAGTGTCTTGCCAAAAATAAGTTATACTAGGGCAAATATACAACTCATTTTCCATCCCAATATGCCAAAGTAATTTTAAATGACTTGTTCAGAGGAAGTATAAGCACACGTAAAATTTTAAGCAAAAGAAAATACAGAAGGTGCATTACAGTGTCATCTAAAAAGCAAACATATAAGAATTGACAATCTTCTACCTAACCTTTTCAGAATATTTTTAACTTTCACTGATAAACAACATTCCTTTTCATTTATATAGCACAGAATAGTCATTCTCCTATAAAACTAACAAAGTATACTTAGGAGTAGGAGAAATTGATGAAATCATTCTACAAAATATATTTATGTTGAGTCGTCTATCAGACTTTACGTGGGTATATTTACATATATAAACACATACAAATACTATATATTTAGAAAATAAGTACATTTAAATCTTACCGTATTATAGTTCATGCCAGTGCAGAAGCTGGCATACTGTACAAAACATGCTAGATTTTGTTACAATCCTTGTTAACTTTATATATGAAGTGTGTTTTGCTAGAGACTGTCCCAGAATATTCTATTTACCTAGCATGTAACTTTGGCTTCCCAAACCCCTCCATTCTTTTTCTTACTTACTCTGAGTCCCAGCCAACAGAGGAACACAACTATTTTCTACACCTGGCTTCCTCCACTTCTTTGTTCTTTCTCCCTTATAACTCAGTCAAAAGTTATATGCAGACAATATGCAGACAATAATGATCGCTGCCTCACTCTTGACTAACCTAATGTTTCAACTAATGATGAACCCAAATTCTCCCATTTCACAGAAATAAAACTGGATCATACAAAAACTTTAGAGTTGTTCAAGGAGAAGATAATCCACAGAGCTCAAGAAAAGTGAGTAAATAAGACTCTAGAGCTAAGACAAACTATTAGAAGTACAAATTAGAAAAATTTGACAGGAAATCCCTTCACACTTCCTGAAGAGGCAAAGAAAAAGAACAAAGATAAGATTAGAAAGCCAAGAAACTTTTATATCAGGGTGAGGAAATTTAACCTTTATCCCAGAGTAAGCGATTAAAAATATATGAACGAGGGAAGACATTAACTCCTTCCTACAGAAAGATTAAAGAAGAAGTTAGAAAAGAGAAACAGGACTTAAAAGACTACTATGACACTACACAGAAGGGATGGATAACAGTGATCTCAACTAGTATAGTGACAGAATAAAAAGGTAGTGGAGGGCTTCCCTGGTGGCGCAGTGGTTGAGAGTCCGCCTGCCGATGCAGGGGACACGGGTTCATGCCCCAGTCTGGGAAGATCCCACATGCTGCGGAGCAGCGGGGCCCGTGAGCCATGGCCGCTGAGCATGCATGTCCGGAGCCTGTGCTCCGCAACGGGAGAGGCCACAACAGTGAGAGGCCCGCGTACCGCAAAAAAAAAAAAAAAAAAAAAAAAAAAAAAGTAGGGGAAATGTGATCAACACAGTTAAGATTAATCAATTTTGACAGCTGCAATTTGGGTATAAAAACAAAATAAGAAAAACTAACTTTGGGTTCCAAAGTTGAGTGTTAGGATGACAGCCATGCAATTAACAGAAATAATGAACAGAAAGAGAAAAATAAGAGTTTGAGAGAAAAGAAGTTTTTGATAAATATATTAATGGGATGGTTACATAAAAATTCCAGCAAATAGCAGGGTAGCTAAGTGTAGACTTACAGACCAGGGCAAGGGTAAAAAATTTCTGCTTTCAAACTCTCATCTTTCAGATTCCAAAATAAGTTTCATGCCATCCTTATTATTCAATCTTTTATGGCATTTCCAAAAAATTAACGTATTTCAATTCTAAGATGTTCATGTTTTCACATATTAACATCTCTAAAATAAGGATGTGTTTAATAGTTTAAATGTTTAAATGTCTTGAATTTTTAATAGTTTAAATATTTAAATAGTTTAAATGTCTTGAATTTTTAATGATACAAAAACATGTATTTTATCATAAACTACATCAGAAAGTCAATAAAATACAGTAAATCCTGGATCAACCTGAAAACACACTAAGATTCCAATTCAAAAACTCACGTTTTTCACTTAATGCCACTTCACAAATCTCTTTCAATCGAGATATGAGAAGCTGATCAGCCACCACAAGAACACTACAAACAAAATCCAAATTTTGAGATTCTAAAAAAAAAGAAAAGAAAAAGAAGCGTCACTCTTTATTATTATTTTGTAAACATTATACCTAAGGGGAAAAATTTCAAGTAATTAAGACACTACAAACGAGAGAATTATGATGATTATTTTCTAAATGTTGAAATGGTAAGTATGATAAACAGTAGTAACATCAAAATATTTCTGTCTTTTCAGTAGAAAGCTGTAAAATAAAACACACCCAAAATGCCCTGGTTCACACTAGGACCATAAAATGGGCAACTTGAGTAGATCTTTTTTAGTCTAAAGAACCACTAGAATGCCTGATTTGTTTAAAATCTCCCATTGCTGTTGGACAAACATTTCTCAAACTAATAGAGGGGAAAGTCAAATCTCATCCTTAAAGGTAATATACCGGTATATGTTAAATAGATACACATATGTTAAAACATATATATACATACAGGGGGTAGAGGGGGCAGGGAAGGACGAAGGGAGAGGTGAATAATGCTCTTAGGCTTCCTTATTTAAAACAAAATTGGTCACCTAAGAGTACTTTTAAAAAAAATTATAGAAGTTCCTTAATTTAACATAAACTTGATCCAGTGTACTATTAATGACCTTAAGCAACGCTAGAATCACTGCCAGAATAGTAGTATAAATAGGAAAAAAAAAAAAAAAAACAATACCACCACCATAGGAAGAAAAAAAATGTTTAAAAAGAAAAAAATGAGGGACTTTCCTGGAGGTCCAGTGGGTAAGACGCTGTGCTCCCAATGCAGGGGGCCCAGGTTCAATCCCCAGTGGGGGAACTAGATCCCACATGCGTGCCACAACTAAGAGTTCACACGCCACAACTAAAAGTCCACACACCGCAACTGAGAAGTCTGCATGCCGCAACTAAGAAGTCCACATGCCAACAACTAAAAGATCCTGCGTGCTGCAGCTAAGACCTGGCACAGCCAAAAATAAATAAATAAATAAATAAAAAGCAAAAAGCCCTCAAAATAGAGATGAAATATATGCATTTAAAAAAAAAAGAAAAAATGAAAGTAGAAAAAACATTCTAAAAGATGAGGGAGAGGTAAAGTCATTGCAAATGGCAGACTAAGAACTACTTCAAAAATTCTTCTCCACAAAAGCAATGAGAATATTACAAAAAATTATCAAAAATCAACTTTTTTAGAGTTCTAGAAATTAGCCAAAGGCTTGCAATAATCTAGGGAGCACTGACTCAAAAAACTTTGCGGAATCTTAAGAATAGTAAGCTTTGGGACACTAGCTGCTCCTGCTTAGATCGTCCTCTCCTCTCCTCGCCTCTCCTCCTCGCCTCTCCTCCTCAGTAGTCTTGAAAACCATCAATCCTGCAATCACAGGCAGGTATGAGAAGCTACATCCACTGGAGGAGACAGAACAGTTGTGGAGCAACATTATCAAGAAACTGTCATTATTTGACCTGTCTGGCAGTTTCCTGGAAACCCAGCTAGCAGGGGTTTATTTGACCTTAAAGCTTGCCCAGTGTGAACAGCCTCAGAAGAGGGCATTTATTCAAAACAATTAGCAACTACTTAACACTGAAGCTGCCCAAGACAATAAATAAGGGATAGCGCAAACAAGAAGCAGGTTAAAAAAACTTAAAAAGAAGAGCTAGGGAAAGAGATATTGTTGTGACTGAATGTTTATGTCCCCTGAAAATTCATATGTTGAAGGTATAATTTCCAGTGTGGTTGTATCTGGAGACAGGGCCTCTAAGGAACTAATTAAGGTTAAATGCAGTCATAAGGTAGGGCCCTGATCTGACAGGATTAGTGTCTTTCTAAGAAGAGACATCACAGATCCATCATCTCCCCCCACTAATCCCCTTCGCGCGCCCACGTGCGAGTGTGTGTACTCTCTCACTCTCTCTTTCTCCACTCACACTCACACTCACACCCAAGCACTGAGGAAAGGTCAAGTAAGGACATAACAAGAAGGCAGCCATGTACAAGCCAGGAAGAGAATCCTCACCAGAAACCAACCCTGCTGGACCCTGACCTGAGACGTTAGCCTCCAGAACTGTGAATAATAAATTTCAGTCTCTGTTATTCTGTTATGGCAGTATGAGCTGTGTCCATAAGGGGTTTTGAAAAGTTTTAACATATTCCTATGAACCTAGAAGGTCATACATCTGTGGAGGGCTGTGCACATGCCCAGAAAAAATTTAAGAAGGCCCAAAACTCTTACTTCTGGATGACCTTGAGACCGCAAAGGCAGGAAATGAATCTAAGGCACAGTTGTAAACTGCCCAGCTAAGAACTGAAGCCAGGCCGCCATACACACAAAGAGCCCCTAGGCACACGCTGGGAGATTTACTGGCTTAGGCAATTAAGGAAAATTCTGTCTAATTAGTAGCTGACCACTAAGCTGACCAAGCAGAGACCTCAGTGGTCATATATGATAAAGAATACCAATTTTACAGAATTAGTTCCAATAAGTCACTAAACAAACAGCAAACACAACAATCCCTGGGGAAGGAGGAAAATCTGATTTCAAGAGTTGCTACATGATATTATTTAGATATGTCCAGTTCTCAACAAAAAATTAGAAAAAATGAAAAGAGGGATGTAAATATATGGTCTATATACAGAAAAAAAGTGGCCAAGAGAATCTGTCCCTGAGAATGCTAAGGTGCTGAGCCATTACATATTACAGACTTTAAATCAATTATTTTGAGTATGTTCAAAGAACTAAAAAAATCATGCTTAAAAATCTAAAAGAAAGTATAAGAATAATATCTCATGAAATTAAGACTATCAATGAGGACAGAAACTGTACATCAATTGAGATTATCCAATCAGAGGAACAGAAAGAAAAACAAGAATGAATAAAAAATACACTGAGTATAAGAGACCTATGGAACACTATCCAGCCTAGATAGATATTTATGGGAGTCCCAGAAGGAAAAAAGAACAGACATAAAGAATATCTGAAGAAATAATGCAGAGGGGGAGAAAAGTAAAAGTGAAGAGGATTTGTATGGAATCAAAGTTCAGCTGTGAATAACAACCAAGATAGGGAGCAACCCCAGTACCCATCAATAGACAAATGGATAAAGATGTGGGGGGGGTGTGTGTGTGTGTATATCTCACATACAGTGGAATATTACTCAGCCACAAAAAATGAAAGAAATTCTGCCATTTGCATCAATGGACCTAGAGAGTATTGTGCTTAATGAAATAAGTCAGAGAGAGATAAATACTTCATGTTATTATATGTGGAATCCTGGAATCTAAAAAAAAATAACACAGATGTATATAACAAAACAAAAACAGATGCACAGATATAGAGAACAAAAGCAGTTGTTACCAGTGGGGAGAGGGGAGGGGGAGGGGGCAAGATAGGTTTATGGGATTAAGAGTTAGAAACTACTATGTATAAAATAAATAAGCAACAAGGATATATGTAGTGTACAGCACACAGAAATACCGACATTATTTTGTAACAACTTTAAGTGGAGTATAATCAATAAAAATATTCAGCCACTATGCTATACACCTGAAACTAATATTGTAAATCAACCAAACATCAATTTAAAAAAAAGAAAAAGAAAAAAAGTTGTGGTTAGTTTAAAACAGACTGTTGTAATTATAAAATATTATTACATGTAAGCCTCATGGTAACCAGAAAGCAAAAACCTACAGTAGAAACACAAACCTACAGTAGAAAACCTACAGTAGAAACACAAAGCATACCGCTACCAAAAAATCATTAAATTACAAAGGAAGACAGCACACACAAGAGGAAGAAGGGAACAAAGAAACGGCAAAACAGTCAGAAGACAACTGACAAAATTCCAGAAGTACATCCTTACCTACCAATAATTACTTTAAATGTAAATGGATTAAATTCTCCAGTCAAAAGCAAAGTAGTTGAATAGATTAAAAAACAAGGTACAACTATATGCTGCCTACAAAAAAATTACTTTACCTTTAAGGACACACATAGGCTGAAAGTGACAGGATGAAAACATATACTCAATGCAAATGGTAATGGGGGGGATAGGCATACTTGTATCACACAAAATAGGCTTTAAGTCAAAAACAGTCACATGAGACAAAGAGGTCAGTATATAATGACAAAGGGGTCAATACATCAGTAAGATATAGAAATTGTTACAGGCATACAGTTGAAGCACCTAAATATATAAAGGAAACAGTAAAAGAGCTGAAGGCAGAAATAGACATCAGTAAAACAATAGAGGACTTCAATACTCCATATTCAATAGGAATAGATAATCCACACAGAAAATCAATAAGGAAATAGCAGACCTGCCCAACAATATACGCCAAATGGCCCTAACAGACATATAGAGAACATTCCATCCAACAACAGCAAAATACACATTCTTCTCAAGTGTACGCAAAACATTCTACAAAACAGACGATATGTGAGGCCACAGAACAAGTCTTAACAATTTAAGAAGGCTGAAATCACACCAAGTATCTTCTCTACCAACCACAATGGTATAAAATCACAAAAACAGGAGGAAAACTGGAAAATTCACAAATATGTAGAAATTAAACAATACAGTCCTGAACAACCAATATGTCAAAGAAGAAATCAAAGAGAAAGCAAAAAAATATCTTGAGACAAAGGAAAATGGGAAACACAACGTATCAAAACTTATAGGATTAAACAAAAGAAGTTCTAAGAAACACGTTTATACTGATAAATGCCTTAAAAAGAAAGATTGCAAAAGAACAACCTTAAGGTTTTTACACAACAAAGAACTATAAAAAGAAAAACAGAGCCCAAAGTTAGGAGAAGAAAAGAAATAATATAGATAGAGCAGGAATCAATGAACCAGACACTACTAAAACAATAGAAAGGACCAATTAAACTAAGAGTTGGTTATTTGAAAAGATAAACAAAATTAACACACCCTTAAGTAGACTAAGAAAAAAGAAGACTCAAATAAATAATTGTAAATGAAAGAGGAAACATTACCAGTGATATCGCAGAAATACAAACGATCATAAGATACTATGAACTATATGCTAATGAACTGGATAATCTAGAAGAAATGGGTCAGTTCCTAGAAACATACCAAAACTGAATCATGAAGAGATAGAAAATGTGAACAGACCAATAACACAGTAAGGAGATTGAATCAATAATTAGAAGTCTCCAAAATAAGTAAAGCCCAAAACTAGAAAGCTTCACAGGTGAATTCTACCAAATATTTAAAGAAACATTCACGTCAATCCTTCTTAAACTCATACCAAAAATTGAATAGGAGGGAAAACTTCCAAACTCCTTTTATGAGGCCAGCATTATCCTGATACCAAAGGCAGACAAGTTCACTACAATAAAAGAAAATTACAGAATATCCCTGATTAACATACATATAAATATCCTCAATAAAATACCAGTAAACGAAATTAAACAACATATTAAAAGGATCATACACCATGATCGAGTGGGATTTACACCTGTGATGCAAGGATAGTTCAACATGTGCAAATCAATAAACACGATACACGACGTTAACAGAACATAGGCTAAAAATCATACGATCATCTCAATAGCTGCAAAAAATGAATATGACAAAATTCAACATGCATTCATAATAAAAACTCTTAAGAAATTAGGTATATAAGGAATATACCTCAACACAATAAAGGCCATATATGACAAGCCTAAAGCTAACATCATATTCAACAGTAAAAACCTGAAAGCTTTCACCTAAGATCAGGAACAAGACAAGGATGCACACCCTCGCCATGTTTATTCAACACAGTACTGGAAGTCCTAGCCACAGCAATGAGACAAGAAACAGAAGGAATCCAAATTGAATAAGAAGAAGTAAACTGCCATTGTTTGCAGATGACATGACAGTATACATAGAAAACCCTGAAGACGCCACCAAAATACTCTTAAAAATAAAGAAAGAATAAAGTTGCAGGGTACAAAATCAATACACAAAAACCTGTTGCATTTCTATATGCTAACAATGAGCTAACAGAAAGAGAAATTAAGGAAACAATGCCATGCACAATCGCATCACAAAGAATAAAAGACTCAGGAATAAACTGAACCAAGGAGGTGAAAGATCTGCACACCAAAAGCTATGAAACACTGAGACAAGAAATTAAAGAAGGTACAAATAAATGGAAAGATATCCCATGTTCATGGACTGGAATAATTGATATTGTTAAAATGCCCATTCTACCCAAAGCAATCTACATATTCAATGAAATCCCATAAAAATTCCAATGGCATCTTTCACAGAAGTAGAAAAAGTAATCCTAAAATTCATACGGAACCATAAAGACCGTAAATAGCCAAAGCACTACTGAAAAAGTACAACAAAGCTGGAGGCATCACATTTCCTGATTTCCAAATTCTATTACAAAGCTACAGTAATCAACACTGTAACGTACTGCCATTAAAACAGACATGTAGACCAATGAGACATAATACAGAGCCCAGAAATAAGCCCTCATATATACAGCCAATTAATCTTTGACAAGGGTGTCAAGAATACAAAATGGGGAAAGGACAGTCACTTCACTAAAGGGTATTAGAAAAACTTAATATCCACGTGCAAAACAATGAAACTGGACCCACATCTTACACCAAACATAAAAATCAACTCAAAGTGGATTAAAGACTCGAATCTAAGACCTGAAACTATAAAACTCCTAGAAGAAAAAAGGGGAAAAGCTCCCAAACATTGGTCTTGGCAATGATTTTTTAGATGTGACACCAAACCACATGAAACAAAAAGCAAAAATAAACAAGTGGTATTACATGAAACCAAAAGCACAGCAAAGCAGTCAACAAAATAAAAAGGCAACTTTGGAATGGGAGAAAATATTTGCAAACCATAACTGATAAGAGATTAACATCCAGAATATATAAGGAACTCCTAAAAATACAATAGCAAAAAAAAAAAAAAAATTACAGACTTAGAAAACAAACTTATGGTTACCAAAGGGGAAAGGTGTGTGGAGGGATAAATTGGGAGTTTAGGATTAACATATACACACTACTATGTTTAACATAGATAACAAACAAGGACCTACATATAGCACAGGGAACTCTGCTCAATATTCTGTAATAACCTAAATGGGAAAAGAATTTGAAAAAGAATGGATACATGTACATGTATAACTGATTCACTTTGCTGTACACCTGAAACTATAGTCCAATACAATACAAAAATTTTTTAAAAACATAAAAAAAATTTTTTTAATGAGCAAAAGACCTTAATAGACATTTGTCCAAATAAAACATACAAATGGCCAACAGGTAAATGAGAAGGAGCTCAATGTCATTATTTATCAAGGAAATGAAAATCAAAACCACAGTGAGATGTCACCTTATACCTGTTAGGAAGGCTATTATCAAGAAAAACCAAGATAACAGGTGTTGATGAAGATGGGGAGAAAAGGGAACCCTTGTGCAGTGCTGGTGGGAGTGTAAATTGGTGTAGCCACTATGGAGAACAGTATGGAGGCTCCTCAAAAAATTAAAAATAGGACTACCATACGACCCAGCAATCCCACTTCTGGGTATTTAGCTAAAGGAACTGAAATCAGGATTTTGAAGATATACATGCATTTCCAAGTTCACTGCAGCATTATTCACAAGAGTTAAAATATAGAAACAGCCTAAATGTCCATCGACAAATGGATAAAGAAAATGTGGTATCGACATACACAGATCACAAAAGCATACCACTCTATGACTAAAGACACCTGGTAAATAAAACATGGGTGTGTTGCCTGACAAAGTATACAAATGAACTGTCTTTATAAATTTCGGTTCAATTATTAGTCTATTTATTTTACTTCAGGTATGTTCACACAGGGGAAAAACAGGCAAGAAAGAACTTTTGTAGACTGTCAAAACTCTACTCCCTGCTGTCAAGTCCTCATCTTAATCATGTAATAAGTAGCTGGGTATGGAAATGTTAAATCTAATCTCAACCAATATTAGTAAGTCTTATATATTCACATAGGTAATGAAAATTTTCTTTTCCATTCCTTTACTATTAGTAATCATCCCTATTTGCTTATTTTAAATTTAAGCCTCTGTTGATGGCTTATTTCAATTAGAGTAGAAATTAAGATTCACGTGACTTTATCATTTTTAACTATATCTTAAATATCTGAAACGTCTTAACTCTTATTAATACCTTTTATCACCACAGCTTCATCAGTATAGAGGTAGTCCAAAATAACTTTCAGTATGTCAGAATGTATTGGCATTTCCAGAGCTGCACAACTGGAAGCCTAAATAAAATAAAATAAAATAATTAAACTACAAAATACTACTACAATCTGACTGAGGTTACTGGTATGAAAAACTTTTAACAGGAATCACATCAAATGCAAAACAACATAACATTTATAAAACGCAAAGCTAAAATGAGATATACATTTAATTTTTAAATGCCTTGTAACATGAAAAAGAATCAAGAAAAATTGAGAAAAAAAGAAACAAACTGGTATTCCAAATACAAGTCCAAATAATAGTGGAGAATTTAACTTAATTTAAGTAACTTTTTTGCAACAATTTTCATTTTGGAATGTTGCTATTTTCCAGCAGACTTATGCATAAATAAAGTCGAATACAAAGCAAAAACTGAGTTAAAATATTTTTTACTTTCTTTAGCATATAATTTCCCAAAAGTATAACTACCAGTCTATGTGTTCTATTTAAATCTTACCTCAATCCATGAGCTACTCAGCATACTATGAAAATATTCTGAAAGAAAAACAATTGAGTAAGAATAGTGAAACAATACCAAAACAAATAAATTAGCAACTAACAAAAGTGTACCTACCAAGTCTAGCACAAAGAACGCATTTATGACAAGGAAATTCCTTTCCATCCACTGATTTCATGGTCACATCACATAAATAAGAACTGGAAAAAAAAAAAAAGTTTAATTGAAGAGCAATTTCTTTACATATTCAGCAAATAAGAAAATCCATTATAGGATTTAACATTTGATTTTCTCCTAATTAAAGGTGGCAGAGAATATACAACTTGAGGGTATACATATAAAGTACTTCATCTCCTTCCACTTTAGGGAAGATAATAAGGCCTTACAATAAAGATAATATTTGTAAAGGGAACTGAATACAGATAAATATTCAAAGAAGTCTTGCTTTTTATTTTCCTTTTTCAATACAGGCCCGGTGTAATAAGTAACATCATAGTCAAAGGTCTTTAATTCACTTATTTGTACAACCTATTCTGTGCTAAGCACAGTCTAGATACCGCCACAGTTTTTTTTTCTCCAAGACTTTTCACCTACCAAGTACACATACCTAAAAACAAAAACTTTTAATAAACATATTTAGAATAGCATATCTATTACGGAAAAAGATTATACTAAAGGAAATAATCTTCATAATGCTGACGAGTCATAATTATACTGGTTTTTGGGTTAACATCATTACCTACTTATAAAAAAATACAAAATTCAGGCCAAAAAATTGTTTTAATTCCTTTCTTTATTAGAAAGTAATCAGAAAAAAATGAACTGTATCAATGTCTTATTGAGCAGTTAATACTTTCATCCATTTGCCTCAACAGCTCTCTAACATTTCCAGAAATAAAGAAGACTAATAAAGGTAAGAGGGTATTCACATACACATTTTGCTTCACATATCAGCTCTATTTCCACACTTAGGTCTCAAAATCTAGGGATGAAAAGTTTATCTTCATTTCCTAACTTACCATTTTCTCTGACTTAGCTTTGGTTTACTACCAGTTTTCTTGGCAATGACATTAATTTCTTCATTCTCAAATCGGACTCCATCTAACCTATCAAGGATAAAAATTAACAACTGGTGAATATATTCCCCTACCAAAACGAACAACAAAAATCCAACAAATTGGCCCACATCTGAACATAATTATATAATCTGTATCACCTGGAAGAGTATCTCAACTAACCCCCATTCTGTGATAAAGAAATATCATACTTAATATTAAAAATATATTAAACATCATTATGCATAAAGCCCTTCACTGTTTGCAATTAGAAAACATGATATACTACCCTTCCTTGCTCCTGCCCCACAACTAAGGTTATACTGCCACCGGCAATATAAATACCTTAAAAACAGAGAATTCCAAAAAATCTGGTATATAATATAAGACGACAAATACTGTATTAGGCACTTTATACATGCTATATGACCAAACTACACCAACAATATTAGGTCAATATTATCCGTCCCCTTTTATATACTGAGAAACTGAGGTTCAAGGAAATAAGAAATTTGCCCTACCTAGTCACAGTAGAGCTAAGAGCCATGTATAGTTCTTTATAACTCCAAAGACAGTACTCTTTCCAGAATACCACACTGTCTGCCACTCCAGATCCCTGTTATACAAACACCATTGAGAGTTCAAACCGACTAACAGCCTTCCTATCCTTTAATGTTTTAATCCAGGGAATCCCAGAGATAGCTTTCACAGAAAATGGAGAAAGGGGTCCATGAAAAGAAAGATACAAATCCAAAAAATAAAGGGGAGGTAGAGAGAAAAGGAGATGGAGACGGAGACTGAGGGAAAGAGAAATAAGAGAAGGAAGATGAGGAGGGAATGGGGGGAAGGGAGGGGAGGAGGAGAAGCAGGTCCAAGAACAGAAGCAAGAGCAGTAGCAGCAGTAAATCAAAGCAAAAAAAACAAAAAAAAACAAAAAAAAACAACAAAGAATTTCTAAAAGGAGGACATATGAGGTACATGAACAGATATTAAGGAGGAGTCATACCTACTACTCAAATTATTGAAACCAAGTTTCTTTGCAACATTTTGCAACATTTTTACAGGATCATCTTCCCCAACACTTTTTACTTTTTTGAAAGATTTGTTTTTGCTTTTCTGCTTTTCACTAATTGTATGAGCTTGATTACTTTTGTAAACTTCAAATGCTGACTTCTGATTATCTTCATGGGAATTCATTTTATTCAAATGACAATTCGGAGTGCTCTGATATTCTTCTGGTTTTTTGTTTGAATTTATTCTTGGTTTGAAGCCATGAGTTAAAAAGTCACAAGTATCTGTGTATATAAATTGTAAAAGGTATTCAAACAAGTCAGGATGAACCTTCTCTACCACAAAGAGATGGCACCCTGCAGAATCTTCATCTTTCCGGTAAACATCTATAAAGTCTAAAGTAGTACCATCTGAAAGAAACAATTTCTGGAAAAAGTCAGAACGCACTGCCAAAATATATTTATGTGCAGGGAAGATTCTATTGCCAACTTGAAATGTCACATCATGGATGTTGTCCATTTCATCCGTTTCCCTCAACAGTTTGCCAAACTCTTCGAAAAAGGATGATGAAGACACAGCTGGAATTTCATAAAGGCTAGAAATGAAACAAAAATTATTTTTACTTTCCAGAAAATGAAAAAAAGAAAGCATCCCTAGCCAACTCTCCTTTTAAAGTGTAATTTTTTATTTATTAAACTTAGAAAATTTTAAATTTAGCACTTCCAATAACATAAGAATATTGCTCACAGTCTTTGATACTGTATCACCCTTTAAGTATTTTCTATTCCTTTACGTATTTTTCCCCTAAACTAAAATGACAAGAATTAAGTGTTCCTTTGAAAGCATTGTTTTCTTTCTACAAGGAAACACTAGAATATAAATTTGAATGACTGTTTCACAGAAATTTTTTAAATGATTAAAAGTATCACTAAAAACATTCAAAAAGAGTACAGTTTTCAACTTTTTCCTCTTTTATATCCTTTTATTTCACAAGTGGAGAAAACATATACAGAAACGAGTAAATACTTCAGGTCCCAGATCCCAGAATAGGTTAGAAACTTAAGGAAGTAAAGATAAATACACACACAGACATACATCAGTCCACAACCCTGGTTCTTTAGTACTGTAAACATGCAATCATACCTTCCCAATCTACATTTTGCCCTTCTAGGTAGGGTGACCAACCCCCCTGGTCAGCCTGGGACTGAGGGTGTTTCCCAGGAGAACAGACTTTCAGTGCTAAATATGGGACTGACCTGGGCAAAGCAAGAGGAATGATAACCCTGTCTCTAGGACTTTTTCCCTCTTCAATAAGACCCTTGATATTTATCTTAACCTGTCATCTCTGTACTAATGTGACAGAAGATTTGCACTGAGATTCACAATGCCCTCCAGATGACTCTATACTACCTCTTCCTTTGTCATTTCTCATTGTATTCAATGGTCAGAAATTTTTATGAACTACATAACAAATATTTATAATCTGTTTCTCAGAATCTGAGAACCTACAGTACATCACAAAGTACTAAAGATATGAATAAATTTTGGGTGTATATGTACATATTATCTTCAATATTTTCAATAAATATCAGTTTACAAACTAAAAGGAACATTCAACATTTCCAACGTAACAAATTCCACCCCTGAGTTAACCTGGTAACATGACTGTATCAATATGTCTGAAGTCTCTACAAGACTTGACAACAGCTCTTCAATTAAATTTGTTCCAAGAGCTATTGAAAACAGAAAGCCCAGTGATTGTTCCTTCTAAAAAAGAAAGTTAGTACATACAAGAGTACCTACCTTGTTTTAGGATCTGACTGCAAGATTGCAAAGTTGCATCCACTTGGATCTGTGCTGGCACTAACAGCTCTATGGGCAAAAGTAAGTTTCTCAAGTCGAATTCTTTCATATGCACTATTTATATCAGAGACACAAGACACATCTGGTGAGGAATTATGAAGGTTTGATAAAATCTCTGTTAAAAAGAAAAAAATAAACTTCCATTAATCAAGGCTCTGTTGAAACTTAAAATGATTTAGGAGTAAATAACAGAAAAACAATTAGGAGAATATGGAAATATCTTTTGTCTGTGTTAAGTCCTTCTGAAGAACTACGTCTTCTCTCTCTTCAACATAATTTACACCCTATATATTGGTTGGCTTATATAAAGGAAATTTTGGTGGGTCAATTCTCAATTATTCATGATATTATCCTCCACATTGCAACCAAAGCTATCTAAAAGGCAAATACAATGTTATACTACCTTTTAAAATTCCTTAGCTTCCATTAAAAATTTTATTTGCTCCCTCCCTTCTTCTCCCCCTTCCTTCCATTTATTCAGCAAATATCTGAGTGATCACACTGTGCTACTGTGATAAAGTGCTTTTCAGTGTATCCCTAGTAATACAGTAGTGAACCTATAAGATAGGCATGTCCCTACCATCTTGAAGTACACAATGTAGCAGAGAAGGCAGACATTAAACAAATGATTTTTTCATTAAAAGTCAGATCAAGCCTATTTAAAAAAAATATGAAATGTGCATGCAAAGAAATGATTCTGACTGTAGTATGAAAAATGTTTAAAGTAAACAAAAATAAAGAAGGAGAGATCATTTAGGAAACTAAGAGTCCAGAAAAAGAATGAGCACTATAGACTGAGGTTGTAGCAATGAAACTAGAGAAAGTGACGATTTCAAAAATATTTAAAATGGAAGTGACAAAACTTGGCGACCAATGGGATGTAGAGGGTGAGTGAACATGGGGTGTGAAAGATATCCATTTACTTAGAAACACTGAAAAGCAGATGCATGAGCATGAGATCAGAATTCAGTTTTAGACCACTAAATACGACTAAGACACAATTCTGAGGACTTCCAACACTTACAAGTCAAATGTGCATTCTAGTTACTCTCTCAAAAATTCACTCTTTTTCAGCCTCACAGGGCTTTCCTAATCTTCCCCTGACACTCAGTTACTCTAATTTCTATGCTCTCAAAAAACTTATTATGTGCACATTAGTATTTGTCTCCATGAACTGCAAATATTTATATACATGTCTATTGCCCCTACAAACTCGTAAGTGTCTGAGAACAGGGGCCTGTCATACATTTTTGTATTATTAAAACCTAGCCCTATATCCAGCACATAGTAAATATATCTTAAATGTTTATAGACTTGTGTAATCTATAAAGAAATAAAATATGACAACTCAATAAACTATCTAAAAATCATTCCTTTGTAGCTTTATAGTTTTGAAGAATATGTTTATAACTTCCTGAGTAATTATGAATGTTCTTTATATATCTTTTAGCATATAATAATTTGATTTATTTATTCAACAGATGACTTAATGAGGGACTATTATGTATCAGGAAATATGCTGAATGCTAAGTAATATAGAGGAACCTTTGATTCCTCTATAAGGATATACAGACCTTATATCATGGTCCTTGCCATCTTATAATCTGATAGGAGACCAGCATTAAAAAAATTAATCACAAAGATAAATACATAAAAACAAGTAAAATAAGTTGCATGATGAAAATACAAAGAGAGTATTAAAAGTAAAACAGGGTTACTAAGTTTAGATTAAGGAATCAGTGAAAACATCTCTGATGAAGTAAAAATTAAGCTGAGATGTGAAAAATTAGGAAAGGCCCTGGGACGAGTCATAGCTGGACAAGACTGAATACCTGAAGGTCAGTGTGTCTGAAGAGTGGTAAGTGAGAGGGAGAGAATTCAAGAGGAGTTCAGAGATGCAGACAAGAGTCAGAGCAGGAGCCTTGTAGGCCATGTACAGGAAGTGAGGAAACCATCAGAGTTTTTAAACACAGGAATATTAGGATCAGAGCTTAAAAGCTCACTCTGGTAAGAGAATAAAAAGAAGCAAGAGTGGAAATAAGAAAACTTATTTTTTGCAGTCAGTCATGTGATGACTTGGGCTAGGGTGGGAGCAATGAGATGTAAAGAGATAAATGAATTCAAATTTTTCTGGAAGGAAAAAAAAAAATCAACAGATTACTAGTTACGGATGAAAGAAAAAAGCTGCTAACCTAAGTTAAAAACCAATGTTAAATAACCCACAAGTTTGTAAATTTATAATCAGATAATTAAGAATGAACTATATAATGTAATGAATGACTTCTATTTTCAATGGTAGCATTTAATTAAAGCTCTCCTTTATATTCATCAAGGAATGAATAAAACTTATCTCCAATTATTCAGCAACTGTTTAATAAAACCACCTGTACTTTTTAAAATTCTCAATGAACATAAAAACCTTATTCTTCCTGTAATTTTCCTCTAAGTCCTAAGATACTTTATAAAAGTTTAATTTTATATATTCAAACATGTAAAAAAACAAAAACAAAAAAACCCATAGCATAAGCCACTCAATTCTCAGTTTGGGGAGAGGAAAAAAAAGGAGCTTGAAAGATGGTTCAAATCCATCTGGGAAGTTTTTTTTTTTTAAACTTTATATATCCCCAGCCCTAGAGCCAAGGCTAGAGACTAATGTTCCCCTGTTACTGATGGGAATGTACCATTACCTCAGGGCATACTAAAAGGTTGAAAACTCTGGATTTAAGTTAATTGAATTCCCTTTGTTTACGTGCAAACACACAACCAAAATCAAAAGAAGCGATATAGGGATAAAACCTAATAACACTTGTCAGTTAAACCTAATGATAAATACTTATAAAATTAAACGTTAGCTAAAGGTATGCCATTCACATATATGAACAAACCTTTCTTTTCAGAACTCTTTCTTTTTTCTTCAAACCATTTCCCTCTAAATCCCTCTCCATCTCTTGTGACAAAAAGAATTTCATTTCTGCTTAAAGCAATATCAGAAATGAAGACTTGGCGTGGGTAGGCCCATCGACACTGCTTCAGAGAACTGTTGACTGATCTCCAGCAAAATACCTAAGATAAAACCAAATTTCAGTGGAATAGAAAGCAATATAGCATCTGAACAACCAAAAAATGAAATCAAGAGATATTATCTCTAAAAATAAAAGCTCTGATTAGTATTTTCAATGTTCATTCTTTCAAAGTAAAAGATAAACACTACAAAAGTCAAGATGGTGTGTCTTTCAGAAAATACATCAAGCTAACATGAAGCATTAAAAATGCTTTAAAGACACTCCTCTTATGAAGTAATTTTCACTGTTACTTGTTTGGGGCAAAGAGATAAAATGGAAAGAAAAACAAAAATCTTAATGCTAAAACTCGGAATATTAGACTTGGTGTAGTATTTACAAGAATGTAAACCACCCTATGAAAATCCAAACTTTACTCTCAAGGGGGAGAAAAAAGAGATGTCTGCATAACTCAGGTAAAACAAAGTCTTAGAGACAAAATAAATCATAGAATTCAATGGTTTCCACGTGGTTCTGCAAACCTTAGTGTTCCTGAGAAATAGCTCAGGTTCTGCAAACCTTAGTGTTCCTGAGAAATAGCTCAGGGATGGAGAGCCATGAGGGCTTCCCAATCCAGCTCTATCCAGAGCAGCAACCCTTTTATCTGCTTCACAGATTGGTATTCCAAGTATGATTTCATTTGAGCAATTAATACTGCTGATCTTTAAAAGCTCAATCCCCTCATAATTAAGAAACCTGAAGCACAGAATGGTATCTGCCAAGGTCACTCAAAAGTTACGTACACAAAAAGTAGACTGTATTGATTAACTGATTCCGTCAGAGCTTGGTTGTCATTTTTACAGCAAAGTAATTAATTTTACAGGAAGTAAATATCCACGTGTATAAACAAGCTAGATCCTTATTAATGTAAATGAAATAAATCCCAAAGTCAAATTTTGTTTGTTTGTTTTTTTTGCAGTACACGGGCCTCTCACTGTTGTGGCCCCTCCCGTTGCGGAGCACAGGCTCCGACGCGCAGGCTCAGCGGCCATGGCTCACAGGCCCAGCCGATCCGCGGCATGTGGGATCTTCCCGGACCGGGGCACGAACCTGTGTCCCCTGCATTGGCAGGCGGACTCTCAACCACTGCGCCACCAGGGAAGCCCCCAAAGTCAAGTGTTTACATATTCAACCTTTTAAATGCAATTCCATGCCTCTGCTTCCTGCTTTTAGTACAAATTAGATCTCTAATTCTTAAATATAGTTCCCTCAAATAAAATCATCAACCACAGTAGATTTATGCCTGTAATGTACCAGCAGGTGGAGCTTTATGATTAATTCTTCAATTTCTAAAATGTCAATTTGTATAGCACTTTATAAAACCTCAGAAAACACTTGCATGTTATTATTTTATAAACAAAAAGCAGAAAGCAATCTGTGTTTTTCCAGTCACAGTGTAAAATTTTTTCAGTGTTTCTAATGTATAATACATATTTTTAATTGACAATTTTATCAGAGGAATAAAAATTAGAACTCTATTTACTTAAAGGAAAAGAGGTAAGAGAGTCTTTTTTTTTTTTTTTTTGGCTGCACCATGCGGAATCTTAGTTTCCTGACCAGGGATTGAACCCGTGCCCCCTGCACTGGGAGTGTGGAGTCTTAACCCCTGGACTGCCAGGGAAGTCCCAGAGATTCTTTATATAGTGATCTAGAAATACATTACATTTTCTATATGATAGTTATGATCTCTGCATATATATTATGTGTACATTTGTTTAAAACCAAATTTGAGAGAAAATTTCCAATTATGTATTTTTAATATTGCCAGCTTAGCTTTTTATTTTTTAAGAATAGTTACATAGCTCATATCTATGCAATTCAAAACCATTTTTCAGTACTCAGTGTATATATCAAATAAGCTATCAAAACCTCTTACTTCCATTTTAAGCACAATAAATGAAAATTTAAAATACAGTTTAACAAGGCAGTACTATGCAACATCAGTTAAATGTCATCATACTTTCTTTGAAATACCAGCTCCCAACTCTCAATAATTAGTACTGGACATCAAAAACAAGTAGGGAAGGCTTCCCTGGTGGTGCAGTGGTTGAGAGTCCGCCTGCCGATGCAGGGGACACGGGTTCGTGCCCCAGTCCGGGAAGATCCCACATGCCGCAGAGCGGCTAGGCCCGTGAGCCATGGCCACTAAGCCTGCGCGTCTGGAGCCTGTGCTCTGCAAAGGGAGAGGCCACAAAGGTGAGAGGCCCGCGTACCGCAAAAAAAAAAAAAAAAACAAGTAGGGAAACAAAAGTCAACAGGAATCATCATTATCATAGCAATACAGTTTTACATTATCAGGTCTCCTACAGCTATCAACTAAGAACAAGATTACTATGCTTTTTTATAAATATATACTCACCCTTCCAGCTCCATCCATTGCAAGAATGCAAATTTTTTCACCCCCATTTTCTTTCAAATGTTCAGGATCAACTTTGTATTCCATATGCCCCCCAGATACAAGAACCTTTTTCACATTTAGTTGTCTGGGTGAAAAAAAAAATTCTAGATTAACATGTTCTCTAAAACATACAATCAATTTTAAAGAAATTACTGTTCAAACACTAATTTAGGGTGATTATTGTGAAAGGTGGAGTAAGATGATTTGACCTTTGTTATCCTTAGTTCCTCCTTTTATGAGTTTCCCCTACACAATGACCATTTCTTTCTATGGCAAGTCCTTCCCTCCCCAAAGGTCTCTACCTACCCAGATACACACATTAAATATCTAAAACCTCACTTGCTCATGTACACACATTCTTTCTAGATTAAATAACTGATAAGGCTAAAAGCTCCTAAATATATCTGCATTTTAACAGAAAAAATTTAAACCTCAAATCAAAACAAAAATCCTTAATTTCAAATATGGACAACTTTAGATATACCTACCAAAAAAATCATTAGTATTGCTAATTTAATAACTCATCCACTAGCCAGTTCATTATACATTTCATTACATCTACACACGTGATGTGCCTATAGCATTGTGTGAAACCTGCCTGCTATTACTCCAATGATTATCCTCCCTTTCAGATATTTTACCCACGTTTTAAAATGTTTTTCTTTTTTTGTTTGTTTAATGTTTTTCTTCTCAAAATTACTACATTGTAACCAGCTGTAACAGAAGAATTTTCTTAGTGAAAACTTGGATGTAACTTATATTTATGTAATTTAATGTTATCAGGGCAGATTTTATAAATGTAAAGTAAAAACAAAACCTAACATTTCACAAATCATCTCATGCTCAGAAAGAAACCTACAGTCAGTTCTAAGAAACATGTATGTTCACATTTTCATGTTTTTATAACTGAAATATGACCTACAATTGATAACCTTCCAGTTGTTACACACAAAAGATAAGTTGTATGTATTGATGGTTGACATCTGCTCATGAGCTAACCTCATAGTTGGTATCTGTTCATGAAGTTACCATCTCATTGACATTAGCAAAAGCACATTCTGTTGAATTTCAATTCAAATCCCTGATTACTTTAAAAGTTGGATAGCTACTCTCTAGAATTCCTACACACTCCTGCTTCTACTAACTGAGCTATTGTACCTACTCAAAGATCTATTTCTCTACTTGTATTTATTACTACAGTTATAATATAATGAAACATCATGTAAACCAATGAAATATTAGTCTGAAAAGAACACTTTCTATAAAAGCTGAATACTTTAAAAAGACACAATAAATATGACAAGCAAAAAACAGCTGTCGGGCTTCCCTGGTGGCGCAGTGGTTGAGAGTCCGCCTGCCGATGCAGGGGACACGAGTTCGTGCCCCAGTCCAGGAAGATCCCACATGCCGTGGAGCGACTGGGCCCGTGAGCCATGGCCGCTGAGCCTGCGTGTCCGGAGCCTGTGCTCCGCAACCGGAGAAGCCACAACAGTGAGAGGCCCGCGTACCGCAAGAAAAAAAAACAACAAAAAATAACGGCTGTCAAATCAGATATGGATTAACCAACTATATAAAATACTGAAAATGTATAAAAAATATAGGATTTTGCCTTTAACTTACTTCACACTTGTTTTTAAGCACCTGCTCCTTAAATCATTCAAAATGAAGTAACAGGTAACACATTATAAGTATTATAAGTATGGTTTATGCACAAAAGAAGAGAACTCCAGTTGGTAGACCCATCTAAGTTTTATAATTCCCTGCTTAAACTGACTTTTTGATTAGACAGCCAACTGCTTGTTTACTGTATGTTACTAAAACAGGTAACAACTGCCTATACAGATACAAAGATAAGAAAATATACCACTTAGGTATAAATAAAAGGACTGAGTAGAGGGTCCACAGAATATGATTTTGTTTTTAAATAAATAAGTGTATAATATATAAAAGGCTACACGTGAACCAATGATAGTGTCACAAACCAAGAATTATGATTCATCTAGTTCTGTGCACCTGAAGCATAAAAAAAGGGAAACTTATAGGTCATATTTAACCATATGTTATCGTAATTCAGAAATACTATTTTACAACCTACAAAGAACTTTTATATATATTTACTGGATGTTTGCCAAAAGACTAAGATTATCAAAGGCAAAAACTTCTGACTTTCCCACCGTTCAATTTTCTCCATTTGACATTTCAGAGAATGCATAAAGCTGATACTCAGATATTTGCTGGAAGAGCTGAATTATTATTAAAGTATGTTTTTTTCACAAAAATACACATACTTAGAAGCCATCTTCTTGCACTGATAGTCTGCAAGTAAGTAAATATCTCCCTTTGTGGTAACACAGACAGTTGCCCCATCACTAGCAGCAACCAAAGACACAGTGATGTCCTTATGGTGAAGGGCAGAGACTTGACGAGGGGCAGTTACACACTTTTCTCCATTGGGATCTAGTAAATAACCTAAAAAATTACACAAATAAACAAATCACAAAATACCCGTTTTAAGAATACAATTTGTTTTTCAGATATTGTCATCATGGATTTCTTACCCAGCTGTCCACCATTTAGTCCCATGGTGTAAACAGCTTCTCTAGTCCATAGCACTGTATGAAACCTGCCTGCTGCTACTCCGGTGACTGTCCTCCCTTTAAGATATTTTGCTTGCATCTATTCAAAAGACAAACAAGACTTCAGTTTATTATGTACCTATGAACTAACAGAATTTTGCACAAGATCCAGTAGACCAGGGTAGCAAATATATGGCATATTTGCTGCCAGTACCCGCCTCAAGTGCTAATGGCATTCATCACTAATAGATCTCAGCACTAATACTGACACCCCAACTCTTCTCAGAATACAAGACATCTTGATGCAGCCACCTTAAGTCAGGAGTTTAAACATGTAAAAAAAAAAACTGACACAGTATAAAAACCAAATCATTAAACTTTTGTTAACAAGCAATATGCAAAACAGGCATTCTCATTCTTATTGAAAACTATGATACTTTTAAATTTGACATATCCAGAGTATCTCAACAGTGACACTACTGACAGTTTGAACCAGATCATTCTTCGTTGTGGGGATTGTGTTGTGCATCGTAGGAGGTTTAGCAGCATCCCTGGACTCTGCCCACTAGATGTCGGTAGCACTACTCCCACCCCTACACCCAGCTGTGACAACTAAAAATGTTTCTAGACATTGCCAAATGGCTCCTGGGGTACAAAACTGTCCGCACTTAATACTGGCTATGTCCATATCAACCCAGAGTTCCACGGTAGCCACACAATGAGAATAAAAATGGGAGTAAAATCTACCATTTCTAAAGTCTGCAAAATGATTAAATATCTACAAATTCCACAGTTGGTTGGGGAAAATGGGCCTAAGAAGTACCACAGATTGCAAACTACCTCTAATTATTTTGGAGTAATTCCTGTTGATTCATTAGCCATCCAGGATGGAAAAGCACTGGATTTTAAAGCTTATTACTAAAAATGTATATCTAATAATCATTTTAAATCCAGAGGATTAAACCAGTGAAGAAGTCTAACACCCAAAATGCAAAATCCTATGAGTTGAAAACACATTTGCTATATGTGATGATTCTAGTAACGTATTAATTTAAAGCACCAGTCCTGTCCTGCGTACTAGGTCCCTGAAGTTGAGGAAAGGCCACCCTCTGGTGGTGGTTGTACAAATGCGAAAGGGAAAACAGAACAAAAACAGTTGCTTTTAGACCTATGTTCCCTCACGTAAACTTGCCAGGTATGATTTCTGCGCAGAGACAGATCTACCATGAAGCCAATAAGCTTAAGTTTCTGGATGCCTCATTTACATGGCCCGCTTTTTACTTATAAAATTTCTATTTTTTTCTTAAGAAGGGCCTCAAAATTATTTAAATTTCAAACCCAAAATATCTGGATTCCCTGATGCTTATGAACACTTACAAGTTGAATCTAAGGCAGTTTGCTGCCTAATGTCCCAAGTGCTCTTTCTCACTCCAAACAAATGTTAATCTGTACATTACTACGCTTAATTTCTCCTGTGAAAAATAAAATATATACCACTGAAGAAACAGACTGTTGAATACAAGTACAATAAGTTGCTCTGTCAATGCCTTCCATTTTTTTGTCCATATAGGTTTTACACCAATGGTCACCTTATTATTTAAAAAAGAGAAGTTTGGGCTTCCTTGGTGGCGCAGTGGCTGAGAGTCCGCCTGCCGATGCAGGGGACACGGGTTTGTGCCCCGGTCCAGGAAGACCCCACATGCCGCGGAGTGGCTGGGCCCGTGAGCCATGGCTGCTGAGCCTGCGCATCCGGAGCCTGTGCTCCGCAATGGGAGAGGCCACAACAGTGAGAGGCCCGCGTACCGCAAAAAAATAAAAAATAAAATAAATAAAATAAAAAAGAGAAGTTTACCTGTCTAGGTACATTACAACTGGAAGGTGGAGGAATGATTCCTAATTGATGAAAAATATTTAGACCAAACGTATAAACACATCCATCTTCAGTTAATACAACAGTATGATCCTTAGCAGCTGCCACTTGAGAACAATTATGACCACTCAGTCCTTCCACAAGCCTAGGGACCTACAAAATAAAATTAACTTCAGTATATCACATTAACCGTTTATATAAAGTACAAAATACAAATAGAATCTTATGATACCACATCCCAAATGATACGACTGCTATACGGCTGTACCTATCATAGGCAAACTGTACAATTCAGCAAGGGGGAGATAAGTTTAATGGACATTGCTTTATAAGTAAAATACAAAATCCCAGTGAGACATTTCAATAAAACAATTTGATTCAATAAATGATTTTTGAGCCCTTATCATTTATCATACACCAAGTGCAAATGTGTCTGGTTTGAATAAAGGGAGCTCTTCAGCCAAAGTATTCATTGGTGTAGTGAAGAAATAAATAAGAATACAGGAATCAATGCAGCCCTTCAATGCATAACCAAACATACAATACCATATTCCTTTAAAGTCATTTGTTCTGGGTTCAAATCTTAATTCTGTCATTTACCAGCTATTTGATCTCAAACAAACCTCATCTTTTCTCATTTTCTTCATCTGAACACAAAATAATAATAGTATTTTGGATGATAAAAAAATCAGCATAAGGAGTAAATGAGTTAGTAAGTACAAAACACAACACTCTCTGGCTCAGAGTAAACAATTGATAAATGAGTGCTATTATTATTGTCATTGTGTATAAAATGAGGATAATAAGGCCTATAACCTCACAGTGCTGTTGTCAGGCTTAAATCAAGGCAATGATATTGCATGGAAAGCATGAACAATGCCTAGAACATAATATACCCTTGAAAAAAATGGAAGAGACTACCATAGCTCTCTCTCATTTTTAAAGACCTCTTAACTGATGAACATGCCAGCAGTCCCCTCAAAAAAAACTTTCCTTAAAAGTAACCTAGTGAGGAAATAACTTTCCTGAATGTAATGATTATTAGGTTTCTTCCACTTAGCACTAAGTTTCAGTAGCATAAGAGTCAATTTTGTGATTATACAATGAAAATATTGGCCCGATTTTCAGACCACAAATACCTTAATGAGAAGTTAAAAATGAATAAAAACTTAGATCCTGGACTACAGGAAGAGTTTTACAATTAGTCTGATTTTTTAAATTTCAACTATGGAAATATTTTAAAGCTTATTTATGTACTCTCCTGACTCGATGTTTGCTATACAATATACTTTTTCTTTGATGCTTTAGAATTTTGCATCATATCTAAATCCTTATTTTGAACACAATACACCAGGAAAGTAACTGATCTTGTAAACTCTATTATCAGTCGGTATATTATTTTCTCCTTATAGTTGGTTAAAAAAATTTTTTAGTTAACTGAGGTTTCCAGTTTATACAATTTTACCAAAGTTACCTAAACTGTATAATGACATTTCAATTACCAAGCATGTCTGTTCATCTCCATGGCCTAATCGTCCTCCAGGACCATGACCACAGGTATAAACTTGCCCTTTCTGAGACAGAAACACTGAGTGAAATTTACAAAGCACCACCTACAGGAAAACAAGAGAATATTATTAAACTTCTGTGAATAAAACATCCTTTATTTTATAAAAAAGAAATAACAGAATACTACTAATTGTTTAAGCTAGATAATGGGTACATTAGGATTCATTATACTGTTCTCTCTACTTAGTACATGTTTAAAGTTTTCTGTAATAAAAATTTATAATATATGGTGGTCTATTTTAAAACTACGTCTAAAAACACTGACATTGGGGGAAGAAAAATTTAGAAGGAATTAAGCAAGTGTTACCCACAAGACACTAAACAAAGGAAAATGCAAATCTTAAGTATTCAACTACAAATAGTAGTAGTCAGTTGTTTTCCAATTTCATAAAATCTCAAACAGCAAGAATTGAACAGAGTAAAATATGAAGCATAAAGATTACCAAATAGTGACTATTACTAAAGAAAATAATAAAAGTGCCTTAAGAGTATTTTTTCCAACATCACCTTATAAACAGGGAGTGGGGGGGGTAAACAGTACATGCTTTTTATACCTCTGATTTTGTCTAATATACCTTTAATATAATTACATGGCTTTAAATAATTTTACACTAATTTTCAAGCTCTTCTCTTTTCCCCACTTCCTTCCCAGAACCCTCCTTGCCCTCTGACAAACAGTTCCATTTTCATACATTCTTACCAGAAAACAAGGTTACTATAAAAGGGTTGAACTGCATCAGCAGAAGGCAATAATAGGAAACCAAGAGCAGTTTTAAATATGCATGCACTTACATACGTAACCTGCAGGCCACACTTTGCTACTTTTCAACGCATCAGTATACTTATTTTACCTTAATACTATCTAAAAATCCTTTTTTACTTTTAAAAATAATCTGCATTTACATCTCTTATGCCACCCATAAATATTTCTAACTTAGGATATTAAAAAAAGGATTAAGAAATAAAAAATCCTAGAATTATTTTCCAGAAAGTCAGGGTCCTTTGGAAAAATAAGAAAATCATGGACTTCCCTGGTGGCGCAGGTTAAGAATCTGCCTGCCAATGCAAGGGACACGGGTTCAAGCTCTGGTCCAGGAAGATCCCACATGCCACAGAGCAACTAAGCCCGTGCACCACAACTACTGAGCCTGCACACCACAACTACTGAAGCCCGCACGCCTAGAGCCTGTGCTCCGCAACAAGAGAAGCCACCGCAATGAGAAGCCCAAGCACTGCAGTGAAGAGTAGCCCCTGTTCACAGTAACTAGAGAAAGCCCGTGCGCAGCAACGAAGACCCAAAGCAGCCAAAAAAAAAAGTTACAAGCTGAATTGCAAGCTCTGTTTACACATATCCCTAAACCACTTGGCGAGTTCTGTAAATACATCTTCCTATGATAATGCAAAAATCACTATCTTATTTATTAGCTGTACCACAAATGCCTAAAAAGTCTAAAAATAAAACCCAAAATTGTATTCAAATGTGTAATACAAAGTTACAATCTGTAAGGGAAAAATTATTTCATGAAACCACAAGTAATACATTTTGTTCAATTCTATATTCAATATTAGGATGCCATTCTATAATCTCTGACTTCTACAAAACAACCAATACCAGAGTGTAAGACCTCCAACTTTAAAACCTCTGAATTTTTTAAGGAGGTAACTGACATGCATTTTCATCTTAATTCTGAGGAATATATTATGCTAATAATAATCATCTCTGTTCCATGGCAGTTAATTCATCTGGTACTATACTACAGAATCAGCCCTTTTTCAGTGAGTAACAGGGCTCTCAATGCTGCTCAGTAAATATTCCCATTAACTTGCTTCTATTTTTCTTACTGAAATTTACACTGCTTTCCTTCTTCTCAAACCTATCCACTGTGCTTGTGTTTCAATCCTCCTTTTCGTAGTTAAAAAAAAAAAAAAATCCCTTACATCCTTAATTTCTTCACAAAATACTCTCATATCCTTGCCTTAACTGAAATGTAGTTTTCTCTTTGGGTATACTGTTTCATCTTTAACCCTACCAAGTGGAATATGCTCAGTTCTTCTACAGCACATATATCTTAGGATCAGAAGGTACAATCAGCCCGTTTCCTAATGTCACCATTATTCCTTCACTTTTTTTTTTTTAACATCTTTATTATTCCTTCACTTTTGTGTAAAAATCTCTGCTCCTGAAAAATCTCACCTCATGAAATCTGACTATATCATGTACTAAGTCAGAAAAGGAAAACAGGTATCTTTCTAAGTGCCTCAACTCTGATCAATCATTAGTGGCTGTTGATGGGTGAATTCTGAGGACCTGTTCAAGTTCAGTTTAAAACAGAGAGGGGAGAGAAGACGGAGGGAGGGAGGGACGGACGGACGAAGGGAGAACAAGAGTATGCTGTGACTGATTAGCGACGTCTACCTAAGGCTCTGAACTAGGTGAGGAAGAGCAGCCAGCCCTGCTCTAACAGCTTTCCTCACCCTCACTAGAAACTCTGACCCCAGGCTTATGACTCTGGTCCATCCCAAGTCCTTTCAATATCCTAAGTTCCCTCGAGGTCTATGTAGATGGCCAGTCAGAATCCTAGCTTTCAGGACACCACTCTACTCTCTACTTCTCTAGTCACTCTTCATTCCCATGTGGGCTCCTGTTCTTGGCCTCTCAAATTTTAATATTCTCTTGAGTTTAACTCTTCTATTTCATTTTTTTTAAACTGCTAATTGTGATACATTAATTAATGACTTTTGGTGTGAAAACCAGTGTTCTACAGAACCCTAAATATGGTGGCCATGTAATATATAATCCAAATATTTGGGGGAATAAAAGGGGAATGACATTAACTATTACATCAGGAAAAAAAATCACGCAGAGATGAACTCAAAAGACATATTCTGAGGTGTAATTTTCAGGATTCAGAAACTGAGATTTATAGCTTTAAAAATTAAGTAGAGAAAGTTTAGGAATGGCAAAATTAGCATTTCAGACAGTTAAATTTAAAAACTTTGAAAGAATGTCTGGAGTACAACTGAAATGAAACTCAAGAGGAAGAAAAGCTGAGGCTACAGATAAATTACACACATACACATACATACACACACACACACACACACACACACACACACACACACACACACAGAGAGTTACAGAGAAAGATGAGTATGCCAACAGTAGCAAAATCCACTGAAGTGGAATCATCCAGAATAATGATATAAGGCCAAAGACCAAACCTTTAGAATTATCAATTAAAATTTTACAATTACTTATATTTAAGAACTCAGGTTCACTTACCTAAAACTAATAACAAACTTCATTTGAGTATCAACAACAAATTCACTTGAGAAACAATCTGAAGAACTCTAATTAATTAAGTAGAAAGAAAAACTAGAAAATCAACACAAGCTCTACCTTTTAAAAATTAATATCTGTATAATGCCTTCTAACTTTAAACATGCCTTACACAAACATCTCATAGTTTTATGATATATTACATAGTCTAAATATGATTAAGACTAACAAAATCTAAAAAGAATTAGTAAAGTTCTGTTGATCAATTTCTTCATTCAAATATGTTACTGCACCTTCACCAAAGTTAACATAATCCAAATGAAAAGATAAGCTATCAAATACAAAAGTTCTTTTTAATCTCTAAAAGTGCTCAGATTGTATTTCAACATACCTGCTTGATATAAACCCCACTCCTAGAGAACAGATCCACCAACTCGGGATGATGTTTGCTATTCTGGCTTCCATGACCCAGGGTGAAATTTGTATTATCTCCCCACGTGTAGACATCTGTAGGATCTAAAATGAAAATTAGTTTTTATACTCTTTTACATTTTAAACAAGTATCAGTGTAGTTTAATTATAGATATACTCCACTAATCAGTTTACCTCAAACATGATTCTTCACAAAAACTAATTTAATTACCATATTTAGAAAGATACTACCAACCCTCTCTTTTAAATTATGACTCTAATAATTTACTATATAACTCTAAGAATAGAAATCAGAAAATCCAATTCAGCACAGGCCTGTCCCAATGTAAGCAATCTAACACTTTACCCTTGTTTCTTTAGAAGTTTAACTGCCAAATGATTAAAATACCACCCGCCATATCCACCTAGTTTCCATGAAAATAATACATGTAATTATTTAAATGTAAAATGTTATTAAAACATTTAATATATAAAGGTTCTAAATGAAGCAAACATGATATTAGTTCCTATTTCTAGAGAAACATCATCTTCCAATAGTTTGCTCTTGATAGATGCAAAATCACACTAGAGGTTGGGCCAATATCCATTAAACTGGGATAAAACCTAATCACAGCTAATTATGATATAATTATGCTAATTATCATAAAATCTTCATTTTTATTTTGGAAGGCTTATAAAGTTCTTGAATGGAATTATAACTGTAACTTGCAATATAGTGTCCAAGACAGAAATAAAAATGAAGAACATGTCCTTACTTAGCTTGCTCACTAGTTAAAATGCAAATTAACTAGTGCCCCCATTTAAACCTCTCCTCCTTTTCAGTCAATTTCCATTACCAAAGCTCACAGGGCAAAAAAACTGGAGATAAGTGCAATGAGAAGAAGGAACATGTGGGTAGAAGAATCACTTCCTTTCCCCCTCTAGCTCAAATGCTGTTACTTTCTGAATGCACATCAATGGCTTTACAGTAGTTACAATTCTAGCTGCCTTCCCTTTTTAGGCTGTATTTTTACTCTTATACACAGAAATGAACATTGAATCTGAAAAATGTAAAATAAACCAAAGTGCTCTGAAAGAAAACCAAGGTTATCAACCAACATATACCAGAGTAAAAGTTCTTTGCAGACATCCACACAAATTTCCTCAGGTATTTCTATAACAATAAAATTTCAATAAAATTTTCTAAGCTGTACCTTAATGGAATATATTTGTGGAATTTTCTTACCAGTATTTCTGAATACTACGTGAGCTGGTCTATCCTTCATTACAAGATCCAAAGCTGACAAGCCTTCTTTATCTTGAATATACAGACTAACACCATGCTAAAAAAAAAGGAAAAAATATGTGTGTGTATATACAGATATATATGTATGTATTTTTAATCATTTACCTATAATCAGTAATTTATTTATCAAAAAGTAAGATGATCAAACCCATAAATACATTGAAAATAAACATTTAATAACAATTATCTCCTATGCTCATACACATTTATTTCTCACATAAAAGAAAACTAAGAGAAATCAAATATCCAATTCTTGGGTAAATAAAGAAGAACCAGAAAATGTGAACAAATAAAATAACATTTAAAATCAAAATGAAAAACAAATCAAAATGAAATAGATATGAAAGTTTTCCGTGGTAAGTCAGGTCAGTTACTGAGAAGGCCCTAACTTTTGGTCTGGGTCTATGTGTGTATGTACACACATGTGCTTTTTTTTCCGTATTTAAAGAGCCAAACTCCACATCCAGCTAAGGGCTGTAAAGATTTCTACACAATGGCAAAGAATACTTCTTACTTTTTATATATATGTTTTTTAGGATTTACTGTATATAATGTGATCACCTATGCTCCACCTTTTTGCCTTGAATTCCATTTACGTCTATTACTGACATGAAGACAATTATATTCTTTTATTTCTACTTGTGTGATATATATTTTTATATTTTTCCACTTAAAATTTTCTACTTAAATTTTCAGAGCATTGTCTCTTACCACTTATAGTTAGATTGTATCGAAAAAAAAAACCCTGAGAATGCACGTGTGTGTGTGTTTTAAGAATGAATTTAAAGTAATCTGTAGTTTTATATCTCCAGAATTCAAACATGAAACAGAACATTTTCTGTCCCATTTATTTAAGGCAGTTAGCACATCCTATCCCTAGCACCATTATTTACTGTTTTAAAAATATAACTGGAGGAGGGGAGAAATAGAGCAATGTTCAATTCATATTATTACTACATACAGTTTTTTAAACACAAAATGTACTCCTTCTCATAAATAACTTTTAATATTTGCTGATAGTTTAACATGGCATTCAACAATAATTTTAACTCGTGTGAGTGATCACTGCCTATGCATCTACACCCAGAGTTTACCTGGGCAGTTACAGGTTGAGATGAACCATGAAGTTTTTAAACTCTAACCACAACATGCTGGAATACTCTTTTTGGGTTACTTAAGAAAGAGCATCTCCTCTTACCTTGTAACAATGGATTTTAATAAATTAAAATCAAGATGGTTCCAGATGGTTATAACACTTGATTTCACAAGGGTTGTCAATGAACAAAAATACTCGTTAGTGAGCTAACAAATAAAACAAAATCCAGAAGTGATCTAAGATCTTAACAAATTTAAAAGTGTATGTTGCCTGCTACTTTCAAAGTTAGATATAATAAATCCATATGGGAAGACCTGAGCTTGGCCTTCGTAAGGGTAAGAAGGGTACATTCCAGGGCAGAGTGCTCCAAGCTACGAATCTGACAAATAGGATCCCTGGAGAGTTTACTTTATCAGTTTTATAAATCTGTCCTAAACTTTATTATATATATACCAACTGGACCCTAATAAGACTACATACAGTTACATCATCCTAAGCAGCCCCAACTGCATAAAGGACTAGCCACACTTTTTTGCCTTTACAGCTCCCTACATATGGTGGTCTCTGACACTTTCTAATATGCTCACCTTAAACTCTAAAGGTAGGAGCATCCGTGTGTAGTCTAGTCTATCCCATTTATTAAAAGATCAACTCTTTACATATCCCCAAAATAGTAGGTAAATTCATTACCTTATTAAATAGCACCTAAGTATAACCAAAAAACAAACCAACAAACAAGCAAAGGATTCTGTCTTTTTTTTTCCCATTACAATATTCCGAGCACTTAGATCGTTGCCTAATACACATTAGGCACTAAAAAAAAAAAAAAATGTATTCCAAATACTTTACAAACAGTATTACCACTTAATCCACACAATCTCATGATTCAGTGAGTTTTTCCATTTACAAATGGGAAAAATTAAAGCAAGTTCTTCCAGGTTAGTAATATAAATAAACCACCAAAATTAAAGAAAACCGGTATAGAGGTAACAGACACAGCAGGACCCTACAAACATAAACATGCCTCCTGTCACGGAATCAAGAAGGTAATGAAAAGCTGCATAAGATATGCTGTTTCTACTCTGGCTTTTGGCAGACAAGAAGTTTCTGCTGAGGTTTTTCATCTTTGGCAATCAGGAACTGATAGCATGGGTGTTTATTTATTGTACAATTTTAGCACCTAATTTTAAAATTTCATACCTATAAAGTTTTTATCAAATGTAATTCATTTAAAATGTGTTTTTCTGTATAGTCTCTTCTTGTTAGTCTGTAACACCTTAAATGCTATAGAGCTATCACCAGAAGTGGAACTGACATGAACACCCCATCATTGCAGCCCTTCCAATTAAAGGAGTGTTAAAAGGGGAAAGAAGTCTGTGCTAAAAAAATGCAGATGGCTTACAGCAACATGCGAATACTAAATGGATGCAAGAGGTTTCTGTGGCAATATTTTTTTCAGCGGGAAGCATCCCCGTTAAGTGTCTATCACGGATCAGAAGGACTCTGATGATGATGACAGTCAAGCCAAGAGCAAGGTGGCCCAAGGCACCATTTCCTGGCTTCTCCTAGCCAAGGTGGCGAGGATGATTGAGGATTTCTAAAGGGAAATGAAACCCAAAGGGAGGGAAGGTCCAAAATTCAGACCAGAACCTATTTCAAACGGAAGCCCCCAATCCTAACACCAGAATGGCAACCCCTAGGATGGCAGAAAATCCAAGGACACTCTCAGGCTTGAAAGGATTGGCAGTCATCCAATTTTCCAGCAGAAACTGGTGGGAAAGGGTAGAAGTAGAGCTGATAGATGCTTTAACTCTTACTAACCTAGCTCTTCCTGTAAAAGAGATTACAATAGGCAAATTAAACTGATACCCAAAGGTTTTACATATAAGAGGAATTAACAGTACTATTAATAAACTTAAGAAAAGATTTTCTTCACTGAAACTCCCTGGGGGGGAAAAAAATAAGGAAGGTACCACTATTATCCTCTTTTTATAGATGAAACTGAGGTTCAAGATTTAGTAACTCATCCAAGAGGACTCAGTCAGTAGTAAACCTAGATAGTTTAGCTCCAAAAAAGGATATTTTGCTATTAACACATACTGAAAATTATTTTGATCAGTAAATGTTACCACCTAAAGACCACTATGTAAACAATTTTTCTGAAGTCAAAAACAGACACCAGGACTTCCCTGGTGGCACAGTGGTTAAGAATCTGCCTGCCAATGCACGGGGCACGGGTTCGAGCCCTGGCCCGGGAAGATCCCACACGCCACGGAGGAACTAGGCCCGTGCGCCACAGCTACTGAGCCTGCACTCTAGAGCCTGTGAGCCACAACTACTGAGCCCACGTGCCACAACTACTGAAGCCCACACACCTAGAGCCTGTGATCCACAACGAGAAGCCACCGCAATGAGAAGCCCGTGCACCGCAATGAAGAGTAGCCCCCGCTCACCGCAACTAGAGAAAGCCCGTGCACCCAACGCAGCCAATCAATCAATCAATCAACCAATAAATAAAATTTAAAACAAAAAACAGACACCAAAGATAAAGACACTGAAGATAAGCACCCTAATGCCCTAATGTGACCACAAGTGCCTTGAGGACAGGAACTGCTTTGTTCTTCTCTGGTCCTCCACAAACATGACTAAATGCCTATACACAAGCTAATTGTTCAATTTAAAACTCATGACTTCTAACAGTTTTTAATTTGCATTCATTAGTGAAATGACATCCATCAGGGTATATATCAAAACACTTCATATTACTTGGCTAAACAGTACAACAAACCTAGATTTAATCTTAATCTACTTGACGGGAAATTTAAAATAAACTGATTCGAATTATTTTTTTTAGAGGTAGATTTTTTTTTAATAAATTTATTTTATTTATTTTATTTTTGGCTGCGCTGGGTCTTCGTTGCTGCGTGCGGGCATTCTCTAGTTGCGGCGAGCGGGGGCTACTCTTCGTTGCGGTGCGCTGGCTCTAGGTGTGTGGGCTTCAGTAGTTGTGGCATGTGGACTCTAGGCGCGCGGGCTTCAGTAGTTGTGGCGCATGGGCCTTGATGCTCCGCGGCATGTGGGATCTTCCCAGACCAGGGATTGAACTTGTGTCCCCTGCATTGGCAGGCAGATTCTTAACCACTGTGCCACCAGGGAAGCCCTGATTCTAATTATTTTTTTAAAGAACTATAAAAACTTTATCCTAGCCGAACAAGAAATAAACACACGATTCAAAACATAGTCCCTAAGTGATTTAAATAACCAGTGCCCTTTTAAAGTAGATAATAACATAGTTATACAAAAGGAAACTGTATTTCTTAAAAATACTAAAAGATATATAGTACTGAGTAAATGACAAAGTGGGATTCACTTCAAAATAACAAGTCAGTGGAGACACACATAACACAAAATTGGCCAACAGTTCATGATACATTGTAAACTTTGGTATATGTTTAAAATTTTACATCATAAAAGGTTTAAATTAAAAGGATATATGAGATTTGAGTTATAATAGTAAAAGATATCAAACAACTGATAAGAACTCAAACCTCTTTTGGAAAGTAAGTGGAATATATGAAAAAGATTAAGAAAAATACATGCCAGACCAAATAGTTTTAAATAAACAAATGACACTTACCTTCAATAGAGACCAAACACAATCAATATGTCCATAAAAAACGCTTCTATGCAAAGCTGTCCATCCTGACTCCTTGTCTTTCACCAATGGATCCACTCCTTTCTCAATAAGCCAATCTAACACTCCTTTCTTTCCACAGGAGGAAACGAGGTGGAGGGCATTTCTGCCAAAGGCATCCTTGATAGTTGCAGCATTGTAACAATGACTGGAGAGAAAGGCCTTAATCTGGTTTTCACTCCCCTTTGTTACCACAGAAAGGACATCCAAAGCATGCTTCAGGGATCGACATTTTGATGTGCAGTCAGGGATGGAAGAATTCATCCTAATTGTTTTAATGCAGCTTACTTCTTCTGAACAGTCAGATGATTTTAAAAAATGAAAAAGCCAGGACACAAAGGTGCTATTCAGAAAGATTTATAGAGAATAAATGGCCTGTTTAGGATTATAATTTAAATCCTCATGGCAACAGTATAAAACTATATAGATCTGTACAATGTATTTTGGCACTTAAATCCAAAAATTATAAATAGCCCTATCAAGTTTATATCAAACACAAGTTCTTTATTTAAAAAAAAGCTTTCCACAGTTTATAAATTATTCCTGGAGTCAAGCACCATGGGGAGGAGGAGGGGAGCTCCCCCTCCACACTGTCCACTCCTTTCAAATATCCATGATTGCAAGTGGGACCTAGAAGAGAAGGAGAAAGACAGAGTAAAAACTACACAATCTATCTCTTGCTCAAGTATTTTACAGTACAATTACCTCCATATTTAAGTGCCCCTAATTCCTATTTCAAAAACAAACAAGCAAACAAATGAGCCTACCAACTTCTCACGGATAGGACAGTCACTCCTCCTTCCTGTGATATTTTCTCCCTATGGAATATGTGGCAAGGTTAGAGCTTCACTGACAAAAGCTCGACCTCCTCTCCCAGTTCTGATAAGGGAGGTTAGTTCTGCTCGGCCACAGCCTGACTGAAAGGTGGCTCCATCCACCTCCACCCGAGTAAGTTGAGGAAGAAAGGGAAGTGGATCCACTTGGCAGCAACCCTCGGCCTGTCTGCCCGGATTCTACAAATGTTACCATACAGGTAACTGGAAGGGTCAAAGGACTCTCACATCCGTGGTATGTCTAAGTTATTTGACTTCACTCATACTTTATTTCAGAATCCAGACATTACAAGTAGACATGTTCATGTGGAGTGATTAAGTTAATGCATTTAATCAGGACCCCCAAAATGGAGGCCACCCCAGTGGCCTCACCCACAGCACAAATCTAAACCTTTCAGTCTGCACCTACAGGACACACCTGTCAAGGAAACCTAACAACAATTAATCCTCCAACTCCGCTTTAGCGAGTTCACCTCACTCTAGAAAACAAGACCTGCACGCCTTATTAGGAAATCCCCAACCTCCTAGCCAAGCGCACCCTGCTTCAGAGTTGCCTCTTCTAACATTCTGTAAGTCTCTCTTGCCCAAAATCCCTTGGAAGATTGCTTCACCGCCAGTGAGCACTGACTCCCCCCCCACCCCCCCGCAATCCAGGCGTTGTTTTCCCTTGAACAAAGGACATCCAAGTCGTTACTAAATTGTTTTAATTTTGTCATTTGACAGGAGAGAGAGAGGGAGGAGTGGGGGAAGGGAGGAAAGGAGAGAGAGATTACTTTGTTCCTGTGTTTGAAGTGCTTTTCAAGCCCTGGAATTGTAGTCGCCTGTCCATTTCAAAGGTAACTTTTAAAAGAAATGCACTTCAAAGCCACCTTGATATTGTTTTTCAGATGGCCGCAGTTTTGCATTATCTGCTCTGTTATTGTTGCTAATATCAATAAATTTAACTAACCATGTTAAAAACAAACAAACTTTCCACCGATAGAAAAAATTTTCACATACTGAGATATGGGGAAGTCATTCTGGCTTATACATGATTTGGCTTGAACTTTATGCTAACTAAAACAGCCTGTCTTATGGCCTGTCAAACACACATTGTACATCTGCTTTAACCATTAAAGAAGAGTGTAGCTCATCATCCAGTAACACAAAAGGCTAAGTTGCAACCCACTGCAGACGCCCACTGACAGTACATCCTGAGGGAAATTCAGGATGGGAAAAACAGGATGAAGCATTCTATGCTTTGGATCTACCGGCTCCTAGGTAGGTAAGAAGACCAGATTCTTGCACCTTCCCATACACAGGAAAACACTAAAATCATTAACATGAGATATCTGTTCTTTGTGATTAGCAGTAATCTTTTACCAAGATGTATGCTTGACTACATGTATTCAAACACTACAAGTATTTAAAACATACATAAAAAATTTTAAAGACAAAAAAGGAGAAAATTTTTCCTTAATATATCACCTCTACAAATCATTAAGAGACCAACAGAATAAAAGTCAAAGAATATGACATTTCTCAAAAAAAAGGGGTGGTGGTGGATTTAAATGGATTTTTAAAAAGAGACTCACATCATTCAAAAGAAATGTAAATTAAAACTATAATGAGACACCATTTTTATCTATCAGAATGACAAAGATCAAAAAGGTTGATATTACTATGTATTGACAAGGTTGTGAAGAAATAGAAACTCTACTCCATTGTTGGTGAGTATAAATCAGTACAGTGTTAATGGACAGCAATTCAGTAATATTTACTAAAATGTAAAATGCACATTCCTTCTGACTCAGTTTTACTCCTAAGAATCTATCCTGTAAAACTATATCCATGTGTGAAGTGGCATAAGTACAAGAACATTCATTGCATCACTGCATGGAAAAAACCTAAATAGTTAAAAGATAGTTGTGGCAGGTCCATTCAACAGAAGATTATTCATGTATCAAAAAGAATAAAGTAGCTATATATTTTCTAACATGAAATAATCTGCAAGATATATTGTGAAATGTCTCTTAAAACTAGATGTATCTGTAATGCCACGTATGAGAAAATGTACATATAAATATATGTTTATGCTTGAATATGCATGAAAGATGTTTAGAAGAATACACAAGAAAATGGTTAACAGTGGTTGCTCTAGGGAAGACCACCAATGGTTGGAGACAGATATGGAAGGCAGACTTATTTTTTACTACTACTAACCTCTTCTGAATGCTTTACCATGTATATGTATACCTATTTTAAAATAAACATCTTAAAAATATAAATAAATGCTAATATATTGATTAGAGAGGCCACAGGAAAGTCTAGAAAACTCAACCATCATACATGAGCCTCTAGCTTTCTTCCAATATGCTAACGTGTCTGCTTTGCCCATTCAGATCTGGAGAAATGAAATATCATTGTCAACTACCTGAAAAGCTACTAGCCTTCAGTTTCTTCACTTCCTGTTAGAAAACTAACCACCAATATAAAATATTAGAAATTTTATATCTAGAGTGGACTACTTTACTCTAAGCATTTCTCCATCATCTTTTTATTTATAATCTCCTAATTATCTTCTTCTTTCAATATTTTTGTGCTCTGGATTTTAAATTAGTAGTCAACCCATCTATAATGCCTAGATTTTAAAGCTTTTATAGTAGAAATTCTACATAAATTCTCTTCTCCAAGGTATCAAATTAAGTTCCACAAAATACTTTTTTTCATTTTAATTTATTAAAAAAACAGTCGGTCCTCCATATCTGCACGTTCCACAACCATGAACTGAACCAAGCTTCAACTGAAAATATTTTAAAATTCCAGAAAGTTCCAAAAAGAAAAGCTTGAATTTGCCTCATGCTGGCCAACTATTTACACAGCATTTTCAACTATAGCTGACCCTTGAACAACACAATGACCCTCTTACAGCTGGCTTTCCCTATACTAGGTTCCTGGTATTCGCGGTTCAACGTGGGCAACTTCAACCAAAGGCAGATCCTGTAGTACTGCAGTACACATTTACTGATGAAAATCCGAGTATAAGTGGACCCATGCTGTTCAAGGTTCAACCATATTTACATAGCACTGACACTGTATTTAGATAGTCTAAGTAATCTAGAGATGATTTAAAGTATACTGGAGGATATATGTAGGTTATATACAAATACTATGCCATTTTATATAAGGGACTTGAGTATCTGTAGATTTTGGTATCCGTTGGGGTCCTAGAGCCAATGCCCTGGTGATACCAAGAGACTACTGTATTTATCTGAATGACAGAGGAAAAACGGTTATAAAACTATTTAGAGCGACACAAGTGAGTTTACATATATGTATAGGAAAAATTTCTGTGCACCAGCCATAAACATTCCAAATCTGTATTTTCCACTCCCATTTCAAACCACACTAAGTCAGAAATCCTAAACCTAACTAGTTCTTAACTATTCTGATTTCCCCATCTGGAAATGATAGCACAGACGCAGATAACTCCTAGCCCTTTCTAGCTCCAGTTCTGTTTCTACTAGACTATATATAAATAAGCAAAGTGTTTGGTAGTTAGTTGACATGAAGAAAAAAGTACCAAAGCCTCAAGTAGTTTAAAATGTTTAAACTGGAAAACATGACAGATGGCAAAATAGTCACGTGTAGTTAATTTCATCCCTTTGAGGCTCTAAACTTTTGCCATCTTTGTGTTTTCAGTGTCTTCCTAATACCTGAAAGGAACTACTTATGTGAATAACTCGAACCCTACAGGATATAATTAAGATACAAGAGAAAAGAATTCCCCAATTTGTTACTATACATAATTTAAACACTTAAAAGGGAAAAAAGAATATTAAATATAAACAAAAGTGATACTATACTATAATATATAATGAGAGAGGCACAGAGTACTATGAACATAAATTAGGAAGGGACTAAGTGACTAAGAGCTAACATTTCTTAGAATCCTACATACTTGGATTCAAATATAGCAATGCCAGCTGTTACCAATTACATAACTCTACAAATTACATAATGTCTCCAAGGCTTCATTTCTTCTTCTGAAAATGGAGACAATGCCACCAACCTCAAAGGGTTACCGTAATGATAAATAAAGCTGCTTATCATGGTACCTGCTACCAAATGTACATTCAACAAATAGCAGTTCTGGGGCTTCCCTGGTGGCGCAGTGGTTGAGAGTCCGCCTGCCGATGCAGGGGACACGGGTTTGTGCCCCGGTCCAGGAAGATCCCACATGCCGCGGAGCAGCTGGGCCCGTGAGCCATGGCCGCTGAGACTGTGTGTCCGGAGCCTATGCTCCGCAACGGGAAAGGCCACAACAGTGAGAGGCCCGCGTACCGCAAAAAAAAAAAAAAAAAAAAACAAATAGCAGCTTTTATTACTATCATTTCTTCAGTAACAAAAAGATAAGAAATTTTGATTCCGAAGTTCATGTTTGGGCTTCAATGTCTCTGCTACTAGTTTCCAAGCATTCTTCTCCTATGAAACCACACATACTAAGGTTACCAATGACCTCCAAACTGCCAAATACTTTTGGTAATGTTACTTGACTTCTCTGCTTTCGAGTCATGACCACGACATTCTCGTAAGGAATCTAGAAAGGAGTACCGAAAGCATAGGGAACCACTGAAGCATTTATGCATGGGATCTCTCTCCTACCACTTCTTCCAACGGCATTTTCCCTTCCCCTGACCTTCAAATATTAGGCTTCTCTCAATGTTCCACCTTCAGTCTTCTTTTCCTCTCTAATTCATACGCACCCTGCGTAATTTCAATCTCTTCATGTTAACTTTAACCTGTGCTCATAATCCTCAAATCTGTCTCCTGCCCTCACATCTTTCCTAAATTCCTGGCCCAATGCATAGCGTTAATCTTATTCATGCTTTCAACAAATGCTTATTGAAGGCAAAGAAAGCAAATACTTATTAAGCATGGGATATTTTACATGATGTGATATTTTACATCAAAGAGGTTAAGTAAGCCACCCAAATCACATTATCAGTAAAAGAGGAGTTAGAATTCAAACACAGATCTATCTCACAGTAAAGTCCAAGCTATTTCTACAACACTATGCTGCCTCTTCAGTGCATCTGCAGGTCACAAGGTACTGCGAAAACAAAAATACGTAGGACTTAAATATTCTAGATATTCTAGTACAGACTCATGGACAATATTTAAGTGAAAATATAGCTCATTTAACAACTGTATTGACTGAACGAGATTTATTATCTATTACGCAGTCTCCACCATCAGTGGGGCACAGTTTGGTAGAGGAGAATGATTTTTATTTAAGCAAGTACTAAAAATATATCATGATTAAAACCTATGATAAAGATATAACAAGTGACTCATAGGAATGGGGAGTCAACAAGAGGGATAAAGGGAAGATTCCTCAAAGGAGATGAGATGAGTATGTGTTTGCCTGATAAATTCAGGGCCAGTGGGCATTTGAGGCAGAAGAAACAGTAAATATAAAAGCACTAAAATCACCTTGGTCCATTCTGAAAATTCTAAGTAATTCAGAAGACAGAAATGCATATGGCCTAATATATACACAGGGATGAACTAGATTATAGACAGCCTTATGTGCCTTTCTTCAGGGATAATGAAAGTGAGCAATTCAGAAACATATTTAGGGCCTTGAGTTGACAAGATGTGGTCAACTCCTAGGCTTCTGGCTTGACTACAGATAGAGCAGCCAAGAAGAAGAGTAAAGGGTAAATACTTCGTAAATTAGAAAAATAAAACAAACCGAAAACAAAAGGAACAAATAGAAATTAAAGGAGAAAATTTTTGCTTTATATGTGATGAATACAAAGTGTTGATGAGAAATTGAGGTGGAAGAGTGTAGCTAGCTACACAGGTGACTGTTAACCTTGCAGGCTGGTCCACCACAAAGGTGCCAGCCAGTAGAGGTTGAGCCCTCAACAATGGCTCACAATCCTATTTAACCTTGGTGAAGAGTTCAGTTATCTTCCGAAAACACAAATCTGATCATGCTATTCGCTCACATATCCAAGACCAAAATGGACCAATATCTATATTTCATGTGTTAATAGCCTTGTGATCTCAGGAAGAGGATGCCAGTTAGACTTGGCAACCACGTAGCACACAAAGTTCAGACTGTGAATTCAAAACACTGAGCTAGTAACCACTAACTAAATGACCCTGGGCACATAACAGCTGCCTAAGCTTCAATTCTCTCACTTGTAAAAAGGGAATAAAAACTATTTATCTCCTGAGTTGTTCTGAAAAATAAATGAGACAATTCATGCACATGTAAGCACCCAAGAAATGTTACGAAGGAAAGGAACATAGTGATATAATATATTGATCAAAAAAACAGAATAACTATATCAAAGCCCTTTCTGCTTGGAATGTTTTTACCCAAACCTTTACAGGGCTGCCAACTTATCCATGGCTTACAAACATTACATCTACCATCTTTTGAACTTTCACATGGACAAGCGTAGTGCTGTACATAAATGAACTAATTTAATCCTCTTTCCACCCTGTATTGCCCTGTATGTATTAACTAGGAATTGGGTTCCTATTATCTAAAACCTTGGTCAAGTAGCTTAATCTTCCTAATCCTCAATTTCTTCATCTGCAAAGTGATGACAACATGCCTTGTAAAAGTGTGGACCTTGACTACACATAAAGCTCCTTAAGGCAGGGAAGAGAATGCCATACTTACTCACATTTGTCACTAAATATAATATGTATTCAACAAGTAGGCTTAAATTTTTAAAGAGCTCTCTAAAATCAAAATACCTTCCTTAAAAACTTGTATCTATATTAACTGTCACAAAGCTACAAATTACAGCGACTCATAATTGATGAATTAAAAAAACTTTTAATTCCTTCTGTAAGCCCTGAAAAGAGTTCACATAATTTTAAAACATCAAGACTTACTACTTTAGGAAATTAATAATTTAGCTTTATCAATACTGTATTTTATTTTATTCTGTTTTCTCAATTATTCTCTGGGTACAAAGGATAGAAACTTCAATATTTTATTAGTGCAAAACCCAGCTTCACAATTGAACAATTCCCCAAACTCTAGGGGGCAAGCACATCTCTGGAGGTGGCAAAGAATTCCTGCCCTATTAATGATAATAAAGGGACTTCCCTGGCAGTCCAGTGGTTAAGACTCTGCACTTCCACGGCAGGGGGTGCGGGTTCGATCCCTGGTAAGGGAACTAAGATACCGCATGCCACATGGCACGGCCAAAAGACGATAAAAAAAAAAAAGAAAGAAAGAAAATAATAAACTAACTTTGACATCATTTATAATAATTAACCAAGTAACACTGAGCTCCTTATGCAATATGGTCTATTGAACTTTATGGTTCCGAAGCATAATGTAGAATTTAGCATACTGAAAGCCCTGGACAAAAGTTGTGTTTTTTTAACATCTTTATTGGACTATAATTGCGTTACAATGTTGTGTTAGTTTCTGCTGTATAACAAAGTGAATCAGCTATATGCACACACGTATGTGCATACGCATATCCCCATATGCCCTCCCTCTTGCATCTCCCTCCCACCCTCCTTATCCCACCCCTCTAGGTGGTCACAAAGCACCGAGCTGATCTCCATGTGCTATGTGACTGCTTCCCACTAGCTATCTATTTTACATTTGGTAGTGTATATATGTCCATGTCACTCTCTCACTTCGTCCCAGCTTACCTTTCCCCCTCCCCGTGTCCTCAAGTCCATTCTCTACGTCTGCCTGGACACAAGTTTTTTAAAAATTTTTAAATGGAAAACCATTCTTTAAATTCCTTGAAGTAAACCACTTTGACTAAATATCTGTACTTTCAGCAAATATCTATACTCTAATTCTTTTTAGAAAACATCTCTTTCTGCCCTTATCTGCCCTGTATCAGTTTCTAAAACCTATAAAAAAATTCAAGGAATTTAAAATAAAAAGGGCAGTGAAAAGATCAAGGAGCTATGGAAGGACGTGAATTCGCACAACATGGGCATAGAAACACTACCACTCATAAAAGTCACATTCTTTTAGTACTTCTGATAAATCTCGACTTTCAAACGCCCTACTTCCAGGCATGAGAAAAAAAAAAAAAAAAAGATGCTACATCAATCTCTGCTTCCTGAAAAAATATCCTGTCCGGCTAACACCTTTTAAGTTTTACTACCTACGTTGGAAATCCAGAGTCACGGATACCCTGGGTTACTTGTTTCGCTGATGAACTAAAACTTTTTAGAAATCGGCAACATGATACAAGAACAAAAGGCCTCTATCCTGTGTCCCCCCATCCCCCCAAGAAAGAACGGGTTCCTTTTCACATAACAGGTAGATTCACACTGAACTTCATCGTTAGCCTCCCCAGACTGAACTAAAACTTCTGTGACGCCACGAATGGGGTAAGAGGCGTGGGCGCCTCGAGGAATGGCTTCAAATTCAAGGCTCCAGGGGAAGTGACACGAAACAACTATCAGAAACTGGCAGCGCAACGTCGCTGGAGGGCTTGGCAGGCTGGACCGCAAGGTAGCGCGCCGCCCGCACAGACCATTCATTAGCTCCGGGCGGCAGCGGGGAGGCGGCCGCCGGAACCCGGGCCCCGCGGCCGGCCCCGCGCCGCCTCTCGCTGAGCCCGGCAGCCTCGGCGCCGCTAAGTCCACTCCCCGCGGCCCACCCGGGACACCGGGGCCCGCGGTCACCCGCCCCCTCCGGAAAGATAACACTGTCCCGTCGCCCCACGACTCAAGGGACGCCGTTGCCTCTGCCCGTTCCGCACGGTCGGGCCGCGCCGAGCCCTCCCTCACCAGTCGCTAGATGAAAATGCTCCGGTGGTCTCCGCGGGGTGGGCACATGGTCGCGCAGGGACTCATCCTCAGTGAAGGCAGCAGAAGAAAACGAAGGGCGCCAGTGGAGGCCGGTCCCCAGGCCCGGGTCAGCTCCGGAAGCGGCTGCAGCAACAGCCGCCGCGTCTACAGACGTCTAGAGAAGGGGCAGGGAGGAAGGGCCGGCACAGGCGGGACCCAGGAATAAGGCGGGCGCTGATTGGCTGCGGCTCGTGTATGCCTGTGGAGGATTGGCTGGTGTCTGCCCAAAAGGCCGCGCGTGGCAGCGCCTAAATTATGGTCTTTCCTTGGCACCCTAAAGGAACTTGACTCCTCCGGCCTTGGGGCAGCCAGCAGTAGCCGGGGGCAGGGAAAGGCCGCGGCCGAGGACTCTAGGCCAACGGGGCGGGGTGGGGGTGGTGGTGGTGGAAATGTCCCTCCACCACAGGGTCAGCAGTCGCCCAAGGAGAAACCTCCCTCTCCCCGCAACTAGAGACTTGGAATCCTGGATAAACCCGGGTGGAGAGACTGAGTTCTGGGGACCTGGACGGATGCCTTGGTCACCACGCAGCAGAAACCACAGGCGTAGGCATCTTGCACCTAAGAGAGTTTCCTCCCATCGCCCTACCAGTGGGGTCAAAGGAAAGCCCAGGGCGTCGTCTCAAAGAGACTCAGCCTCGCCTCTCCTCGGCCGCTCCCACCCCCGGTTTTTCCGGGGTCATTCCCTGGGTCAGAAGGCGTCACTGCCTTCTTAGATCACTGTGCGGGGCCAGCCGCCGACCCGGGCCAAGCCACTCACCAGGTCACGCTACTCAGTGCCTGATGCCAGGCTCGTACTACGCTTTTTACCCCTTAACTCTGCCTCCAAGGACCGTTTTAAAAATGGTCGAGTGAAAAAAATTAGGGAGGACAGCAAGTAGCCAATAATCGATACTAGGATAGCGAAAAGGAAACATCCTGCCTGGTAATGCCTGAAACAGTAGGCTCCCAGTAAATGTTTGTTCAGGGAGGGTTACTGTAACTCAGAACAAACAACACTAGGAGTCAGGAGGTGTCTGTGCAGCTCTGCCACGTGGTCAATTATGCAAGTCACTTAGTCTCCACCTATAGAACGACGGAGTTGGCAATAAGACGTCGTCTTAAGGGCTGCCCATTCAGCTTCACTCTTTCTGGAGCCTGCCTTGCGGAAGCCCAAAGCCACACAGCTCGTTAGTGAAGGGGAAAGGAGAATAGCTCTGCTGCTGCCCCTCCCAGTACAGTGTTCTGTCTCTTTGGCCCTTATTCTAAGTGCCCTACTTCCTTCTTTGACGTGTAACAAAAACTATTTTGTAATGTTAAAATTGAGTGATTTTGAAAATAAGCTGTGTACGATGACTTTTATATTCGTGCACAAAGAAGCTAGCAATGGCAAAGTCAATAATGTAAATGAATGCATTGACCTAAGGTCAAATCTTTTTATCAGTGTCTGGACAAGTTAATTTGCTTTTTTGAAGCCTCAGTTTCCTCATTTGTAAAACAGGAGCAATAATGCATTTTATGGTTGTGAAAATGTAATTATATAGAGATATATCACACTTAGAGTGCCTAGCACATAGTAACACTTCCTAAATGGTAGATGTTACTTTTTATAAATATTTCCTTAGCAGCAGAATTATTCCAATTCCATTCCAATTATTCCATTCATTTTAACAATAGCCAGTGTCAGGCACTTGTGGTAAGCCATAGGGATCCAATAGTGAACAAAACACTTATACACCCAGATAATCCCCCACATAATAATTTTCGGGACCTCCCTGGTGGCGCAGTGGTTAAGAATCCGCCTGCCAATGCAGGGAACAAGGGTTCGAGCCCTAGTCTGGGAGGATCCCGCATGCCGCGGAGCAACTAAGTCCAGGCGCCACAACTACTAAAGCCCACGCGCCTAGAGACCGCGAGCCATAACTACTGAGCCCGCGTACCACAACTACTGAAGCCCGCGCACCTAGAGCCCGTGCTCCGCAACAAGAGAAGCCACCGCAATGAAAAGCCCCCGCACCACAACGAAGAGTAGCCCCTGCTTGCCGCAACTAGAGAAAGCCTGCATGCAGCAACGAAGACCCAACGCAGCCAAAGATAAATAAAAATAAATAAATCTATAAAAAAGAAAAGAATTTGCAACTTTTACAAGAACTGCAAATAATACTATGATAAATTTAATCTAACTTCCCAAAGAAGTTGAACTAAGACTGGAAGAATGAGTAGGAGATAACCAGATGAAGTGGGAAAGAAAGAACGTTGTAAGCCAAGGGATGTGGAATTGCTCCCCATTTTCCTGGAAAATCAGGTGCCTTCAAAGACACTGGTAATTTGCAGGACAGAATATTGAAATGATTAGGAAATAGTACAAATGAAGTACAATTCAATTTCATTTGACGTATTGTAGATGTGTTTGGTGAAGGAAGAGATCAAAATTAGCCATTTATTTTTTTTATTTTTATTTTTTTTTGTGGTACGCGGGCCTCTCACTGTTGTAGCCTCTCCCGTTGCGGAGCACAGGCTCCGGACGCGCAGGCTCAGTGGCCATGGCTCACGGGCCCAGCCGCTCCGCAGCATGTGGGATCCTCCCGGACCGGGGCACAAACCCGTGTCCCCCTGCATCGGCAGGCAGACTCTCAACCACTGCACCACCAGGGAAGCCCCCAAATTAGCCATTTAAAAAATAATTCTGTTTGTGTTTACACATAGAAGAAAGAAGAGATAGAAATATACCAATAACAATGATTCTCTCTGTGTGGTGGGTTATGGGTGATTTTTAATTTCTATAATTTTGAATTTGTCATTTTTATTTGCACTTTTCTTACTTGATTAATTAAAAAAAATCAAAGTTAAGAAAAAATAACTGACTGGAGTTTCTAAAGTAGGCTTAAAGCAAGAAATAAATCTAAGGACGGTTTTAGAAGACTGCAGTGATTTAGAGAAGAAGTAGGGGAATAGGCCAGGCATCAGGAATGGAGTTTGAGATAAGGCCAAGATAGAGCACTGCAGAAGTGTTTAAGCCACACCATTTCCAATACACTCCCCAAATGCCATTTTTTCCAAATAAATTAATCGTTCTGTCCTTCATAATGAAAATGTATTGTGCTACCACTGAAGTTGTTTAGAGATAAGGAATGCCAGTGCTGTGCCTGCTTCAGCTGGTGACAGAAGAAAGAATATCAGAACTTGTATGTTTGCAATGGCCCAAAGCCCAGACCTGTTCAGGTTCTGCAGGAATGGTTACCAATACAGGAAGATCAGCAGTGCAGCTGGCCTACAGATGACTAGAACCTTATTGTTTGGCCTAATTATCTTTTACTTCAAACTGTCTTCCATGTGAGAACACTTGGCTGGAAGCAGCTTTCTGACACACACCTCAGTGTGACCATTAGGGAAGATAGCACTGAGCCCTCTGCCTCAAGCGCAAAATTCCCAGGTGCCCCGATGTACCCTGATATCGGCTCAGATTAGGTGAGGACTCAAGGGTATCATGATTGACAACCCTCATTAGAGTCCTGTGGTTGAAGCACAGTGACAAGTAGTTTCCCAAAAGAAGACAGGGTACACAGCAGATGAAAAGTAGACAGCTAAAGGGTGTTTCCATGCTATTAGCTCCAGGGGCTATGGTCCCAGCTGCGTTCTTCCTATGTAATGATTATCCTTCCAATTCTCACTTAGAGGAGGCCACCTCCTCACAAATCTGTGACGCCTTCCCGGATGCCCTTTCCCAACAGTTATCCCATCTTCTCTACTAGTTCTATAGCTTATTCATATTACTGTGTCTCACTGTGTTGTTTTTAGATTTATTCATTTCACATGTGGGTGCAGTAAAAGCAAAGGTTCTGAAGGCAAACTGCCTGAGTATAAAAGTTTACTCCCATTCTTACTAGCTGTGAGACCTAAGGCACGTTATATAACCCATCTAGGCCTCACCTCTAACATGGGATTAACGGTACTTCCTTCACAAAGGCCTTATGAAGTTTAATGATTTGATATGTGTAGAGCTCTTAGTGCAGCTGTTAGCACCTAATAAAAGTTTACATCCCTGAACTCTTCTGGATGAATATATTTGCATGAGAGAGTTTTGAGGGGTGGGATTGGGAGACCCAAGGAATGACCCACAAGATGGCAGTGTTTGAATATAACTTTAGAACTATATAAGCTTGAAAGCAGAATCCACCAATAAATCTAAAAATTCTAGGCAAATACTGGAGAAATTCAAGACAAGTTCAAAGTCTACATGAGACAAGCAAAAATTGTGAGAAATCAAACCAATAAATCTGGCAAGCTTAGCACTCTTTTTATAATCAGAACAAACTCTATCTCCCCTTTACTATGAGAATTCGTAGGGCTCTTTTCCCAGCCCATCTTACTTAGAATTGATCGTGTTCCTTCTTTATCTAACTACATGATTAAATCAGGTCGTTGTCACCACTGCTTCCTTAAGAAGAAGAAGAGGGAGTTTGATTTAAAGATTTAAGGAGAAAAGCAAGTTTGATTTAAAATGGCAGACTGGACACATACTACAACGACATACTACATGCCACATACTACATACCACAAATCCCTAGACCTGGCGGGAAAGACATCTTTACAACTGAATTTGTGTGTGTGTGTGTGTGTGTGTGTGTGTGTGTGTGTGTGTGTGTGTGTTATGCGGGCATCTCACTGCGTGGCCTCTCCCGTCACGGAGCACAGGCTCCAGACGCGCAGGCCCGGCGGCCATGGCTCATGGGCCCAGCCGCTCTGCGGCACATGGAATCCCCCAGGACCGGGCACGAACCCATGTCCCCTGCATCAGCAGGCGGACTCTCAACCACTGCGCCACCAGGGAAGCCCTACAACTGAATTTTAAAATTCATAAATAAGAGCACTGGAAAACAAAAGTTTAGCTATTGATGGTCCAGAACTTAGGAAGATTCCCTGAAAGATGGATAGGAGGCTGGATTGGACAGTAGAAAGTAGTAACCCATAAGATACCATAAGCGCACAACCTGCCAAGACTGAATCAGGAAGAAATAGAACGTATGAACAGACCAATCACAAGCACTGAAATTGAAACTGTGATTAAAAATCTTCCAACAAACAAAAGCCCAGGACCAGATGGCTTCACAGGCGAATTCTATCAAACATTTAGAGAAGAGCTAACACCTATCCTTCTCAAACTCTTCCAAAATATAGCAGAGGGAGGAACACTCCCAAATTC